CCCCACGTTACGGCAGCGTCACAACGCACGGCGAAGGGTCGGCGACCACTCCAACAGATCAGGAAATACTGCCATCTTTGGTAACACCAGCGCACCTAGATAACATTTACCTGGCAAAACACAGCTTTTAATTCTACAACTTTGTTCATTTATAGTGTTAAAATAAAAATATGGCCCGCGAACGAACATTTTCTATGTTAAAGTGAGTTAGAACAACGGCCTGTCTACACACAAGGCAATGTTTATGCCAGTCATTCTGAAACTGGTCTGTACAGTGCCACAGGTTTTTGGGGGTTACTTTCACAATAAAATTTACCATGAATTATTAATTTAAAATTTTGAATGAATATTGTACACACTTAGGTTTTATCAATATTGTCTCTTTTGACACACGGTATATTCTTAAATCCCAAATAAATGTGCCCCTGGGATCATACTGAATTGGACAGGCTGTATATATGGCCTCAAGTGACTGTGTGTCTACGAACACGTTTGAGAACTCCAGGAAAATGTGACTTTCATTTCAATACAACAGCCACTTCAAGCAAATAGCTGTCTCATTTGCAATTCAAACCAGACTGCGCCACAAATTTAACTACAGAGGTGCATGTATTTCCCTGCCAGCAAGCATCCACAACACAACTTTAGTGCATGTACATTCAATATAATATATTTTTTAGAAACTAAACTGGATCTTGTAGTTTTACTTTGAAGATTAAAATTTATGAAATAATTGCCTAACCTAACACTCACATTTTCCCCTACAATGATAATTTGATTATCTATGTTGGATCATTTATACTGATCCATTAGTAATTCCTGGACTATCATTAATCTATCACCAGAAATTAGATCAATATAATCAATGGATTTTTTTTTTTGATTGTCTCATTTGCCTTAATTTATGGTTCATGAACTGATGTCCCAGTACTCTAGTTCAGGCTGACTGTTTGTGGGTGGACCATCACTACAGCACATAGATGACTTGATCATTATCTCCAGTAGTCTAGGTAGAGTGCTCAGAGGACACGTTAATGCTCAGCGGGTTGAGGCGTTACTTGGAGACATGGAACACTTTGACGTCCTCTGGGACAACAGAGTGGGTACAGACCTGGTCCGATGGGGGAAGACGAAGGCAGCATGAAGAACACTCCTCAGAGGGCACTGCTCTGTCTACTTCAGCACAGCATTTGGGGATGAAGTGTTTGTGTCAGATCTGTTTTGCTGTCATCTCTTTACATTCACATTTTACATAAACAGAAATTTAATAACTGATTGCACCTTGAAAAAAGCATGTCGGTTAAAATTATTGTGTTAACCTCAAACATGTAGGAGGAAGCTGGCCTGCTATCCTGTATGAACTGTCCTCAGCTCTGTAACCACACATTAGTGCACCTACAAGAGGAGCATCCCCCATAGTAATTGTACGGTACTGTATGGAGGGGTGTGTGAGAGAGTGTAATCCCACCAAAACTCAGGTGTACATAAAGGAGTAGTTCATATTGGTGGTGGTGGATTAAATTAGCCCTAATTTATCTTTTTATTTATTTAACTAAGAAAAAAGTGGTAGATAAACACGGTACGAGCTGAAAACACTGTCCCTGTGTGTGTGTGTGTGTGTATCAGACAGTGTTCTAGGTGTGGGTTTCCACCAGGACTCATCTGCCCAGGTTAATGCTGCTGAGATTTAGTTGCCCCTGGATACACCCCTGCCTGTCTGCATACATGTGTTGTGAAGCTTCTTTAGCACAGCCTCAGACCACCCAGGGGAGAAAGCTTATTGTCTGCATTCAGCCTTTTGATGAGGAGAGCGGAAAGAGAGCAGTCCACACCTTGATGTACCTGTAACTGTATCAAAGAAAGCTCCAATTTAGTTATTAAATATAGACTGAAGCCGCTATGAAAAAAAAGAACAGAGATTAAAACTCAATAATTTCTGTATTTTTATTTATAGTAAACACAAGTTTATTCTTTTTATGATTTATACCACTTACTATGTGATGATGATAATCTGCAAATAAAATGGCTGTAAAGGTGTTTTGTCTCATTTCGAATGTTCAAATTCATGGGCGTGACCCTGCGACTATTTAGTGATGTCACATTCACAGGCTGTTCATACACCAGAACCAGAATCAGAACCAGAACCAGAATCAGAACCAGAACCAGAACCAGAATCAGAATCAGGTTTTTAACATACAAGGAATTTGCTTTGGTGTTTTGGTGCATAACAATAAACATAGTAAGAAGAAAAGAAATATAAACAAAGATAAAAACAAGCAGGTCGGATAGCTTACATATAAATAGAAAAAAAAATATATAAAAAAATATATAAAATATTTACAATAAAAATGTGAAGAAATGTTATAGAAAATACAAATATATACAATACAAATATGTACACTGTGCAAAAATGACTGTGACAATGCTCACAGACAGATAGGCCGACAGAGACGCACAAACGCTCACACAGCGCTCGTCAGTAAAGCAGGGACCATAAGTAGCACTATCTCACGGTATTAGCGAGAGATAAGAGGAGAAATCAGATTAGAAAAAAAGAGGCAAAATGGCAACACAAATATTGCCTAATATGATCTCATACGTTTCATAAAACCAGTGACATTACATGAGGCTAAGCTCATAATGACCTTGCTTTTTATAGGCAGGTTGGGGTACAGTAATCTGATTTAGCATAATCTCCTACAATCTCTGATAAATGCTTACGGCATGTATCTCCCAGAGAGGTCAGAGCCCATTGGTCCGTTTTGAGGCATTACTGACATCTGCTGTTACACATCTACTACGGGGCCTGGTTCACGTACAGTTTATCAAGTGAGCTCTCATCTTTGGAAGAATTTAATGATTAAAATGGGACGGAGTAATTCTGAAAAAAAAAATGATGATGATGACTTGATCAAAATGTATTGAAAAAAATTGTGTTTAGGAGAAAAATATATAGAAAATAGAGAATAAAAAGAAGAAAAAAGTTATTGTCACAATACCCGGTAAGGTACCAGTTACAATAGGCTGACTGCGCTGTACCAACCCCCACCTAAAGCCACTTGTTGTCATGAAAACTAGTCAGCAAGAAAGCAGTTGAAAAGCTGCTTCCTTGGCTATAAAGTACCAGATAAACATTTAAAATGATCAGCCAAAGGTAACGAATAAACAGCTGGAATAATCACTTAATGGATGAACAGCTCAAGTAGCTAAAATAAAAAGTAATTATTCAAATAATTCGCAAAAGCTCATGGATAAATGGTTGAAATAGCTAAAAGACTATCTGAACTAAACACTGACAATTCAACTGTATGAAACTGTTGTAACAGTATCCACTGTTTTAGTAATTCTTAACATCGCCTTAAAACCATCTCAAAGAAACACATTTGGAGCACGACATACAATATACAGCTGATGAAGAGGCGCAGGTCGTGAGTTCATCTGATAGAGATGTGGGTCACATCAGAACCGCTGCTCCACAGTCTGTCACACCTGTGACTGAAAAACAAACCTGAGGAAGTGTGTGTTTGCTCTTCCACTTGCAGAAAATGTTACAGTAAAATAAATAGCAAGAAGTGTGAAGTTAATCTAAAGTTTTTTGGTCTGTGAAAATGAAATGAAAAAATGAAATGAAAATGTGTTTTACTTTTCAAATTTATAAAACCCAGAAACTGGGAACACCTTATTTTACCGATTCTGAGGTTTTCAACGCAGCCCTCTTTGACTGATGTTCGTATCATAAGATACTTCATAAGACCAGTTTCTTAATATTAAGAGAAGGGATAGATTTAATTACTGAGTTTGAAAATATACATCAATCAATAGTACAGAATTCACTATTTTGTATTTAAAAACTGAGATTCAGCGTCTTTACCAGTTAATGGGTAAAGATGAAATTCAGTATTTTGTAAAGAGTATTGTATATAGTATATGGAATAGTATGTAATATATAGAGTATATAAACTGGCTGTAATGTTGTATGTTTTGTATTTGTGGTCATTTATAAACGCTTTGGTTAGCTAAAGATCATTTTCCAGCCTGGTACACAATAAAAATCTATATTTATTTGATTCTCATTTCCACTTAGAATAAAGGTATGTTTTCATCTTTTACTGTTACAGTGGCACCTGCGACGATTTCACGACAGTCGCTGTTTTATGTTTTTTAGCATCATTCATCTGCTTTAAAATCTGGTCCCATTCTGGATTACATTTCACAGACTGCACCTTGTCTGACCTCAGCGTGAACTCTGTTTCCTTTCACTTCATGTGTACAGTACCAGCAGTTATACAGTATGTACTTTACACATCTGCTGGCTCACATCAGCTGACACACGGTTAACCAGCGGCTCACTTGGCATCACACACACACACCCTGGTGGTGGAATTAGGTTCATGCATTGAAGCACTTCACTCAAGTTACAAATGGGCTTCAGATGGTTGATGGGGGTGTGTTCCACTTTTAATAAGTCAGCTTTTCTTTTACAAGTGGATGTCCGCCTTGATCCACTGGTATTTGTTTGTGAGGAGCTGAACCTAAAGGGATCTATGACTCAGATCAGAGATACTGTGTGTAACGTGGATTCTTCCACTGATTTGCCAAGAAAATGATAATGGTGAAATGGAAAGATACAAAACCACCAACCAGAACTCAGCGGGTGCAGAGACTGAAGCAGGACTATATAATGGAACAAATGACTGCGAGTCTACGACTGAAAACGGGTGCTTTTACACAAAGGTGGAGCGAGATGGATTGTTGTAACAAAACTGTGTTGTTTTAATGGATAGTCACTGAAAATGTCATCGTTATATTCCTCTATAACTGACTCACTCTGTTTGAGAAATATGTGTCTCGCTATTTATCTTAATATCATTTTGCTTGTTACATATACAGTATAAACAGTGTATCACGTCTTTATGAATTGTGTGTGTGTGTGTGTGTGTGTGTGTGTGTGTGTGTGTGAGCAGATTTCCCCACTGGCTGTCGTCCAGGTTGTGTAGAGGTCAGTCAGCGTTTGTGGAGACCAAAGCCATCAAGGTGACTCTGTAAACGTTCCTCTCATCCCCCTTCAAGGTAAGAGGCACACATGTCTGCACCACCTCATAGGGCTGAAACACACACACAAACACACACACACACACACACACACACACACACACACACACACACACACACACACACACACACACACACACACACACAGTGTGAAGTTCAGACATCTTAATACAGGATTTAGAATGTAGATGGTGATTGAAGGTTGTCAATATATATATTTATTGACTTAAAATGTGTCTATTTCTGTTTGAAAATCGACCAGAATTCAGTGTTTTCACCAGGATTTAATCTTTATCAGGAAGGAAAAGGCTGAAGAAAATAGATTTTAAACTCTGACAGGTGACATCACACTGACATTAATAGATGTCACTGTAAACGAGCAGGTATTTTATATTATTTTACAACACTGAAATGTGTCTGAAACTGTCCAGCAGAAAAAGAGGTTCTTAAAACACTGGATTTACATCAGGTATGAAGTCATCAAATCCCAACTGACACAACTTCAAGTTCTAACTTGTCTAAAATCATCTCCTCCTCACCTTGTATCCGCTCTGAGGGGTCCAGGTGACGGTGATGGTGCGTTTGTGGCCCGCCTCCACAACGCCTTTGCTGGGCTCCACACTGAAGCCGTGCTGCTGAAGGGACGCCACATTATCCCAGTAAAACTCGGCACTCTAGAGAAAAACACGACCAAACAGACACACGATCAACACCAGCTGGGGGAATGAATCCGGCACAGAGCAGCTGTATAACGAAGACATCAATTTACAGAATAATAATGACACTGAATTTTATTGATATTGATATTGTGAAGTTTCTATGATGTTTATCCCTGAAATAATCTATTAAAACCTCTTATGATGCATCTCACATCACTGTTAGTTACATCCTGCATCTGTGTGAACCTATTGCCTCCGTTGCTCTTGATGACATCACAGTACCTTCTTACTGGGCTGTGTGGAGCAGATGCAGCCCACATGCAGCTCCCTCACTGCAGGGGTGATGGCCCCCCCGCTGCGGCCAGCTTGCAGGGTCACTAGCACAGGGACGCTGGGCTTCTCCGTCACCTCGGACTCTCCTGTACACACAGAGAGAGAGGATCAGCTTCATCCCATTTACTGCAAATACTATTTAATAATAGTCCATGTCACTTTGAAGCCAACAACACCAGACCCAATGGGCTTTTTCTGGCACAGTTCATTTGCATCCTGTTTAACCATTTTGTAATGCTAGTGGCATAACTCTAGAGATGGAAACATATATGTGTCAGTCGGTCACTTTAGTCCAGACTGAAATATCTCAACAGCTCCTGGAAAAGCTCAAGGTCTTATCTGGTTCTTGGTTCTTTGATTTAGAAACATTTGCTGTGACTTATGTTATATTATAAGTGTGTGTATTTTCACACATGGATCTTGTAGTGAAATATGATCCTACTGCTGGTGACAAGCACATGGGCTGTTAGCATGCTATGATTAGCATAAATGACTACTTCACATATGCTGTCCACGCTTGCATAAATTATGGTATGTGTCTGGGAGTTATTAGTCATCTTTATAGTGTCAATGTCTTGATTTTCTCTGCCTGAGTCGCCTGTCTAGTTGGAGCTCTCAGGATTTTTAGAGAATATGCTAAAGCTGAATTTGTAATAATGATGACTATATGAAGGAGGAAGAGAGGAAGACGGAGGCTTTGCTACCTGTGAGCTGAGTCAGTGGAGGGAGGAGGGATTCGATGGGCACAGTCAGCAGGTCTCCTCCATATAGATACATGTTATGTGAAGAGGCGGCGCCCTTCAGGTCCATCACACACACTTCACTCTGAGAGACAGAAACCACGCGGCGTTACACAGAGGACATGCAGGGTGCAGTAAGGACGGCGTTTCACCTGGACCATGTGATTAAGGCCAAGGTGAGGTTGAGTAAAGAAATGTAATTGAGGCTTAAAGTGTGTGTGTGTGTGTGTGTGTGTGTGTGTGTTCTGCTGACCTTATTCATGAGCTCTATGGTGAGTCTGTCAGAGTAGTTGACAGACGGGTGGTCGGGCTGAAAGGTGACAGTGACGTCCTGGCTCTGTCCTGGAGCAATGCTGCCCTCTGCTGGCACCACGCCGAAAACACTCAGCCCACTGTAGTTCTGGGTTCCTGTTCAGATATAGTGTTATAATTAATATGTCTGCCACTGTCATGTATGTTATTAAATGATGAGACAGCCTGTAGCCTTTGTGTTGTTGTCAGATGTTCTTAATGTCCAAAATGTTGCTTGTTTGAATATGAGAGGTACTAGTTTCCATATTATATGTATATATACAGTAATGGCAGAACAAAGGAGGCGTTTCTGATCTATGGTAGTGTGATGCTCAGGTTGTAATAATCTGATGCTTACAGTATTAATTAATGCTGTCACTCAACTGAGAACAAAAGATGCTCAATGACAAAGTTAAAGCTCAGTGGAGAAACGTTAAGATCTCACATTGACTAGAATTACAAAAAATATAAGATTGTATAAAATACATAAAAAAAAGGTATCTGCTTTTAGTATTTCTTTTTACATGAACTCATACTGTGAACAATCTGTTCTTAATGTGACCATGATACTGACTGAGATGTTTTACACTTGTAAAATCCTCCTGCCAGCGCCCTCTGGTGGACAAACTCTGTAACTGTGATACTGATTGTAAAATGCGTCAAACCTACTTTTGCATTTCTGTATTCCAGCTTCTTTTCATCATGACATCATGACATCTACACCAATACTGATATAGCTGCAATAAACTGGTATCAGGCCTTGGCTGGTTTATTAGTCAAGCCAAAATGTAATCAATACTAATTATTAATCATGTAAATGAAAGATAAACTTTCCAGACATTGGAGATCATAAAGAACTTCTTCTTGCAGCAACAGATAAATCAATAATAAAAAAAAGGTTTAAACATTCAGTTTAAGCTTCTTTTTTTTTACTACACAAACAAACTTTATTTCTACAATAAATTTTACAAAAACTGCAGTAAAAAGTTCCGCCTGTTGTCCCTCAAACATTTTAAAGCTTGAAACAGTAACAGCATGAAAACAAGAACTGCTTGTTGGTGTGAATCACTGATTCGTGAAATCAGAGCCCTTAAAGTCTAAAAGCTACTGCTCATCACAACATCTACAGCTTCTCTTTGCAGATAATTAATGTAGGAAATTCAATGAGGTGAAATGGATTTTAACTGGATTCACCTCATCGGTGAACTTTAGTAAGAGAAAGAGAAAAAACATGGTTGAACGCAGTATAGCTTTAATTATTAATAGATAATAGCGAGTGTCAAAATATAAACTGTATTCAAACATAAACAGATCTGTATGTAATGTATTAAAATCCTGATCTAAACCAGGGAAATATGCAGTAAAAAAGCTTAAACATGGACTCAGTGTTGTGCTCTATGTCATTTTCCATTTGGAGCTCAAGCAGTCAAAAGTTTCCCAGGGTTCCCAGTGGTTCGGTGAAGTGTTAATCACATCTTACCCACAGTCGGCTGGACCTGAGAGTCTGTGTAACGGCCCAGCAGGAGGGCGACCTGGTCAGCTCCACCCTGAGGCCTGGAGGGAGAGACACTGGCCAACAGCCCCCTGAACCCCACCGCTACCGCTGAGCTGTTCTGCAGCTGCAGAGAGAAAGCATCAACGTAATCAGCGCACATTAAGAGTCAACACAAGGTTTCTTCAAAACCACCGAGGCGTGATCTTGTTCTGGTTCTTCTCCTTCTTGACCTTCAGCCCCTGACTCACTGTTAACTGACCTTTAGGACCCGTGAGGTGCTCTCCTTCTCCAACACGTAGCCAAAGTCGAGGAGACCTCCAGGGGGGGACGAGGTGACAGCAGGGACCACGCCCTCCCCGCACAGAGTCACTTCCAGAGTCGTCTTCTGGTCATGGATCTGCAGAGTCTCACAGTACTGGAGAACAGTGGAGGTTTCACTCAATAGTTGATGTGGTTTCTCAATTGAGAGACACATTGACAAATCAGTAGATTAACATGGGGTGTCGTAATTCACTTACTGACTTCTGGGCCGGTCAGTAGTGGGGAAAGTGTGACACACTGGTGACAGGTTTATATGTTTTTAAAGATCTAGCTTCATGATAAATCCTGAACCGTGAACCCACCGTTTTCTCCTGAGTCGGGCTGAAGGCGAGCACCACAGTGTGTTTCTCCCCGGGTCTTATGGATCTGAGAGCATTAAGAAGATTAAAGGGGCCGTGTATATCCAGCACCGACGACCTCAGCTTGCAAATGGTCAAAGAAAAGCAGTGGTGAACAGTCTGTATTATAATTATTATTATTTATCATTAGTATTTGTAGTCGTATCCATTTATGATTAAGACATATTTTATTGTGATAAAGAGATGCCAAACCAACATGCAGGCCACAGCACTCAATTTTTATTTAAAATTCTCAAAAGCAACATCTGTCTCCAGGGAAACTGTCACCATCACTACAATCCACAACACACACTGTCAAGAGGTTTCTTTAGTTATTATTTCAACACATAAAACCTGTTCAAAGTGAGATGCCCTGGTTTCACATCAGACCCCCCTCACCCAGGTGACCCGGCCGGGGGTTGATCAAGTCCCAGCTTGCCTCCCAGCAGCAACAAACCACGGGGCTTGCCCCCTTGTTTGCAGAGAGTCATTTTAAAACCTTCACACGTTGATCGAATTCATTCACAAATTTAACATAACTCCTCAAAACTGTGAAAAAGAAATGTAAAAGCAAAACTGGGCCTGAGTTATGATCAGGTTTTTGTTAGTGGAGCAGATCTGCAGCACAAATAAATCACAAATCAGTCACTCTAAAATTTTTAAAATTTAAAAATTTGACTCTTAGCTCTTCAGTCGCTGTGTTTCTGTTTCATATGAGCTGGAGAAAGGATACGTCCACAGACTCCTTTGAAATGTTCTGAACTGTAAATCTCTTAATCACCCTCTGCCCTGAAAATACAAGACACACATACAAACACGATAAACACGTGCAAAAAGGTGCGAGAGCTGAATGCACGAGTGAACGTTTACAGCACGTGAAGAACTCAAGAGAGGGACTCACCCACTGCCACCTGAAGGAAGTCTATCGCACCGTGTCCATCGTTGGATACGACCACCAGAGAGGGCCGGACCGCGGCACACTGCAGCTTCAGGTAGAGCGTGTTGAAGGGACTGAGGAGATATGGGACATGACAAGCTGTGAAATCCGGGTCAACAGCGCACACTTTTCATGAAAGCTCTTCATGGATACAGGTGGCAGGTGGTCGATGCAGACAGCTGATCTGGGTAAATTGTTTTGCATGAGCTCAACACAGCACAGCTATCTTAGAAATAGACACATTAAAAATATGTGAAAGTCTAAACTACTGGAATAAAAATGACGGATAACCCTAAAGTGGAAAAGGTTTATCATTTAAGAGCTGAAGAGCCTCAAGGACTTTTCAAAAAGCTGGACTTTAAATACCAAAGAAGAAGATAAGAGCTAGTGACCAACCATTTTGGGTGCAAGTCTTAATTGATAAGTAATAATTAATAACTGTTGTGAGAGAACGTGACCTGCTTCTCTGATGTGCTGAACATGAACTGACGTCTGTAACTGGACCGGAGCTCTCTCTGACATTTCTTGAGCTGCCTCCACAATATAAACTGATGTCGTAAACTCTGCGGTCCCGTTTATGATGAGCAGAAATCACAGTTCTGAGAAATTTCTCAACTGGTTTCCTGATGATTCATCTGCTGCAGTTATGGCGGAACCAGAAATGCCACAAAGAAGTTGAACAAGAGAGGTCACAGGGTCGTAATGAGTAAAGTACTCATTTTAATTTGTATGCTCCTCCTGTTCTCTTTAGATGTGGTGGCTTATGCTAACGACCCAGCTCTTCTTCTATTTGCTGGATATACATGAAGGTCATATCTCTACTGTGTTGCATGATTAGAGTTAAAGTGAAGATTTATTTTTGAAAGGACAGCCCAGATGTTTCCACCATCACAGGAATCTGTGAAGTTCTGGATAAAGAAATAAACTCCACAGATCAGCTGCTGCTTATATTTCATATGAGAGGAAAGCTAATGTTGCTAAATGCTATGCAGCGGGCCCCCAGGGCCCTCAGGAGCCCAGGCCACCAGAGGCTCTAGGTTTTCTGTATGTCAGTGGGTTTATAGTAAATTAATGAATTTGTTTTCCAAATTGTCGGTATGGTTACGTTGTCAGATGTGAGCCAGAAACAGAGGGAACAGTTAGCCTCACTCTGTCTAAAGGTAAAAACTAAATCTCACTAATCAACACCTTTTATCTGAATGTTTAATTTGTACAAAAACCGAAGAATAAAAACAGACATGTTGTGGTTTAAAGTGTCAAGACTATTTCTTGGTCAAAAGCAGTAACTCCTCTGAGGCGATATGTTTCTTATGTCAACGCACAGTTTGCATTAACCAAAGTGTGTGGAGGAGAGTATGGAGGCCGACCCAGCGTTACCTCCACGGCGGCTGAGCCTGTCTGTCCTCCTCGGGCGGGTCTCCGTCTGAGACGAAGCAGGGAACGGTGTACTCCCTGTAGCGCCGAGTGAAGGAGAACAGCAGCGACGCCATGGCCTCCTCATACCGCTCTGACCTACACGTAAGTAAATAAATCAACAAACACTGTTTAACTCAGCGAAATCCTTCTGATCGAGGTTTTGCGGCTGCGTTGAGATGCTGCAGGATGTGTGGTGTAGCAGAGGGAATACTGATGAAATCACTTTAGAGGAAGAGAGAATGTACAAGTAAAAACTTTGTGTGTAATTTATATTTCAGTGTTGTTGGATTTCAGACTTCTGATCAAGTTATTAATTGACTTTAGACAGACTTTCAGGGAACATGTGAGAGATATTTCCTAAAGAATAATTTATTCTCTTTATCTTTGATATTTGGCAATAGAATATTTATTAATGAATTTTTACTTCGGTTCAGCAAACTTTCGTCGCGTTTTCCAAAGTAATTTGTGATACAATGTGAGGAGTGAGAATTAAACTTCCTACCCTGGCTGTATGTCGGCAGGATTTGGTGATTCAGTCAGTTTCTCTGTCTTTGGCTCGTCCGACATCTTGTTGTTCTTCTGATTCTCAGACGCTTTTTTTCCTTTGCTGGGTTCCACTGGGATCTTACAACACACACACAGACATGACTGATGGGTTCATGCAAAGGTAGCATCAGCAGGACGTTCTGTATAAGCTGGTGAAGATGAGCTCAACCCCTGACCCCGACACTGGCGGGGGGTTACGCCGGTGTAGCAAGGAGGAAAAAAAAGAAATCTAAAATTTTTGAGAATAAAATCATAATATTTTGAGAGAAAAAGTCATAATATTACACGAATAAAATAGTAATATATCAAGAAAAAAGCCGTAACATTACAAGAATAAAGATGAAGATGAAGTATCTCCTTATTTGTGAGACCTCTGCTAAAGTAGAACTTCCCAGGATGCTCCACGTTCCGCATTTTAAAGCTTCTGATATTTCTCCTCTAAAACAACATGGAACCTAAAATTACAACTTTATTCTCATATTGTGACTTTCTTCTTGAAATATTATGATTTTATCCTCAAAATTACGACTTTATTCTTGAAAAGTGTCGCTGTGGCCCTGATACTCCGTCGTCGGGGGTTAACATGGATAACATGGGGTTGCCGTCGTACCTCTTGTTCCGCTTGTCTGTTCATCTCCGCCTCCTTCTCCCGGAGCACGCCGGCTCGGTGGAGGAGACGCAGCGCCTCCTCTTGGACCTCCTGCTCCAACAGTCTGGGTCTGAACGTCACCTGCACCAGGCATCTCTGGTGGAGAGGACACCAGGATAACGTGATCGGTATTGTGTATTGAATTGTGCACATTTGCAGAAAACTTCAGAGTGGCAGTCAGATTGTAGTATTCTTACACCCCGGTGGTTTTTAATTTAAGCCTCTGAATCGTGTTTGGAAATGAAGTTTTTAAATTAGTTTTGGGCAGTTTCCTGTTCTGGGGTTTCTCTAGCGTGGACCAATTCAAGCAGCTTACAATCCCCCTGTTTCACAGCTGCAGAGTATTTACTGGATTTCTCCCAGTGGAAAAAATTAATACAATGGATTAATCTTTTCTATAAACAGTATATGTGTGTGCAGGAAAGACCTCCACCGTCAACTGACTTCAAACTCTCACAATCCACAGCCAGAACCTGCACAGACGTTCAAATGATCTGTACTTTGATATGATCCTGCGTCGTATCAATATACAATTAAAATCAAGATTCACTCTTATTTGCATTGTGTTCTGAACTCACTGATACTGCGGCATAGACTTGTTCACCTCCAGCAGGTGTCCACTAGAGGGCATCATCACACTATAGAGGCTTCTGATGTGAGCCAGGGGCTGCTGGTCTCACTGTTATTATTTGTAACTGTACTGAGTTGAACTCAGGCAACAATAGTTTCTGTGAGCTCTGTATTCTTCATACGTTTGATGCAAATTTTCATAATAAGTAAAAATGTAAAACTTCTAAACCTTGGTTTTATTTCATTACATCGTAAGATCTAAGTTTCAGTTCACAAGCTCAACTCAAACAAATTTGTGTTGAGGTAGAGCTGAGAGTTAGATCAGGTCTAAAATTATAATAGTGTAACTGTGTTAACGATGTTAGGGTCAGATTTAGTCTAAATGTAAAATGAGAAACATTCTCAGGAGATGAAGCTGAAGAGCATTATTTAGACAGCGGGTCATACAATCACCAGCGTAAAATGAGACAGTTCATTTTTGGAAATTGTCTCAAAGCAAAACAAACAAAGCGAATGAGTTGCGTAGGAGCAGGATGAGTGGCTCAAAAGTGACTAATATTTAATATTTAAAAATATTGAAGTATGTTTTTTATCAACTCACCTGGTGAATAGTAGCTCAGTTAATACAAATAATAAAAAAATGTTTTCATTAACTCACCTGTTCTATTTGTCACTATGTGGAGTTTCCTGTCTTCTATGTACTGAATCGTGAACTGTTACATATTGAATTGATACTGATACTAACCCTAACCAAAACAATCCTCAAGACTAATCTGCTCTTGACTTGTAAAATGTGTGGAGTGCTCCTTTAACATCAGTGTAAACACAACGAGTTCTACTCCACCTCTCCGGGGAGCAGCCGTCCTGCGGAGGGTGTGATGCTGATGTCTGAATCCTTGGGTGGGGTGAAGGAGAACAGCCTGGGTGGTGCAGGAGCCACAGCGTCCTTGACCACAGGGGTGACAGGTTGTTTGGACCGGTGGCGGTCGGTGCCATGATTGACCAGGTGAAGTGTGGCGGTGGAGTGGTCACCTACTGCCGTGGCCCCAAACTGGACCAGAGAATGGGAGAGCTCCAGTGGAGGGCGGACGCCCACGGCTCGGCAGGACAGCAGGAAATCTCTGACGCCAGAGGAAAACAAATCACATAGTTATGAATTAATAAATATGGGACGTAATCAAATTGATCATATCAGACATGATAACACCAATCACACCAAATCAATCTCATTTACACCCAGTGAAGGATTCAAAGTCAACCTGTTAATGCCAGACTTGCAGCTGAGCTGGAAACTGAACTCTTTCGCCTTGTTGGCGCTGAAGATCAGATCAATCTCCAGGGTCTCTTGAGGAAGCAGAGTACCAAAGCCATCATTAGGCTGGACCTCCATAAACTGGAGCGTGGGAGAACACAAACAACACAAACTGCTTATATTTCCAAATTATAACAGTAATCCTTAAGATTTTTAATAGATATAAAATCAAACTCAGATTTTGATCCTTTTGTGGTCGTCATTGTTTTTTTGCAATAATGTATTTACATTCAGTAACTATCTCTCATAGCAAGTATTATCATAATGACTAAATACCGGAACTTCTTCAAATTTGGCACAAACATTCATTAGGACTCAAGAATGAACTGATCAGATTTTGGTGGTCAAAGGTCAAAAGTCGTGGTCGCTATGACCTCACAAAACACAGTTTTGGCCTTGTGAACGCAATATCTCAGTAACGCCTTGAAGTGAACTTCTTCAAATTAGGTACAAATGTCCATTTGGACTTGAGGAGGAACTGATTAGATTTTGGTGGTCAAAGGTCAAAGTTCAAGGTCTAGGTGATCTCACGTTCTTGTGAATGCAATACATCAGGAACGACCATTTTATGACCTCACAAAACACGTTTTTGGCCATAACTCAAAAAATTCATTCACTAATTGTGACACAATTTAACTCAAATGTCAATAACGATTAAATGAAGTGATGACATTTTATATCCAAATGATCAAAGGTCAACTTCACTGTGACATCATAATGTTCAACTAAAACCCATCTGGTCATTATTCAGTGCTGTAACTCAGGAAGGAGAGACTGTGGCCATGTTTCCTGCCGCTCGGCTGGTTGGTGGAGGAAACAACCACGAGGAGGTGATTCTAGTTTCTGTTTGTATCTATTTCACAAACACAGGAACATTCAATATTAGATGAGTTATTCATCACACTGCGAACTAAAACCACAGAAGTTCTTGTTACCTCTGGAACGCTCAAGAAGCCAAAGTCCTGAGGCAGCAGGGACCGGTTGGTGAGACGGACGCTGCTCTTGACCGACTGGTAAATGGAACAGAAGCCGAAGTTCACCTCAGTGCGGTCGAAGTGCAGGTCAGAGGAGGTCACCACTGCTTGGACCGTGTAATGAACAGGCTGCACCTGAACGCACACACACATGTAGTAGGTTTTCAACATACAGTACGTGTTTTGGTGCGTGACAATAAACATGAGAAGAAGAAAATAAATATAAACAAAGATAAAAACAAGCAGGTACTGCAGGTCAGATAGCTCAAATATAAATAGAAACATTTAACAGTAAAATATAAAATATTTTAAAATAAAAATGTGAAGAAATATTTTTATTCAACCGGCATAAGAATGCAACCATGTCTGTAGAACAGCAGGATGGTTTGATTTACACAACGCGAAATGGTCCCAGTGGTTGTTCTGTACTGGTATCACATTTTAAATCTTAATTATACATTTCCATATTTATATTGGGACAAACATCTTGAGTCTGTGATTTCACAACAATGAACATATGCACTTATTTAACAAATCAACTTCATGTTTAAGACGAGACCAGCTCAGTCCTCTGAGCTGAAGTGGAAGCTTTTTCTGAAGATAGTCATCCGAGTGTGAGTGTGTGTGTGTGTGTGTGTGCTATCCAAAACACAGTGCGGGCTCAGAGTGAGATTCAGGAATTTAAATCTCGGCACCAAACCAAGTGACTGAAAATAAACTACAATGTGTGTGTTCACGTTAATGAAGGAACGTGTCACTCCGTGCATCAGTGTGGCTCATTAGTTTTTGGACAACAGTGAAGCTCTATGGCACAGAGGAGGAAGAATTCATTGTTCGGGTCGTTTCAGTGGGTTTGTTGACAACAGAAACAGAGAGCGGTCTCGTCCTTTAACACGACTTTAGGTAAATTATATTTTCATGGTTGTAGATTTGAAAACAAAGTGATCTTATGATTTCGTGATCAGTGTTTTTTTTCTCAAAATTTTGTCCCCTTGAGTCATGCCAGTGCTGAGCAAATGACCTTGTTTTCTGGAGTCTGTGCCATCGCTTTCCTGGCTGCTGTGGCGTCTGGTGACCATACAACAGTGTGTGTGTGTGTGTGTGTGTGTGTATGTGGTTGTGTGTGTGTGAGGTTGTGTGTGTGAGTGCACATGCAACTGGTTTGCTGCCAGGAGCTCAGGGCCTGGGGCTGGGGGCAACAGCTTTGGTGCTCTGCAGGAGCATCCTGGCCCAGTCTTTGGCTCCTCGTCAGGGCTCTGCCCCCCCCTTACAAGAGGGAATAGGGGCTGGATGAGGTTGTGTTGGGTGTGTGTGTGTGTGTGTGTGTGTGTGTGTGTGTGTGTGAAAAATATGGCGAGAAGACAGACCAGATTTAGATTTACTGAGAAAGAGTACTGGCATCGATGCAACACGAATGTTTAAGCAGCTGCTCAGTGTTTTTCTAATGAAGGCTGCTGCTGACAAGTTGAAGGAATTCAGTTGCTGTAAGAACTTTTCTTTCTGAACTGATCAGACCACGAGGACGATATTTAGGTACAAAGGTTTGTTGCACCTTGCACAAACAAATATAATGGATGTAATACTGTAACACTATGTGCTAGTAACGGTACGAGGAAGGATTAAAGATCAACTGTTAATAAAACATTGAACCGAGACCAAACTTAAAGAAAGATTTGATCAGATATTATTCAGCCATAGAAAAGACATGGAGGTCTGGCAGAGCTCTGGTGGGGAGTGAAGGACAGAGAAGTGACTGTAAGTGAATGACTCGCTGTTCGGTGACGGACAGTTGAAGCGTGTCTGATACTTAATTCTTTTGAGAGGTCTTGTCTTTTCCATTGGTTTCTGCATTTCACATTGATTTAATTACTACAACACCCAGTAGGTTCATCCAAAATTAACCCACAACGTAAAAGTGAATTAATCTGAGATGCAGCTTAAACTACCAGGTTTCTAAAAAGCCTGATTTTAATTGAATTCTATTTATTTATCTTTCTATTCATTCATACATTTCAAGCTGTTTTATTGGTGTGTCCTTTTATTCTATGATTACTTTCTGGATTGTTTTCCTTCTATTACCCCACTTTTATTTCTGGTTTTAATCACTTCCAAACATCTCCTCTCTTTTAGCATTTCATTATTTCATCTTGATTTTTATTAGATTTTGTCTTCCGTGTTTCTACTTCCGCTTTTATCCGTTGACTTTTTACTAAAGACATTTTCTAAAGCAGTTGCAATTTTTTTGTCCTGATGATTTAACAAGGAGAATTTAACGGCCATCAGAGATGTATAAGTGTTCCTGCTGTCAGTTACCTGGGTGTCCGAGACGTAGTAACTCTATTCAAGTCAGTGCGTACGTTCATATCTTCTGTACACGAGTGTATCCTTATATATTTGCCAGCCATCAGCCTATGCTGCTTCCTACATTCAGTAAGAGCTTGAAAGCAAAACCACATGTAATATATGAAACTTTTGTATAAGAAAAAGATAAGAAAATGTCACATACTGTAAATCCCTGCCTACCCACTCTGAGCCTCTGAGGACACTCTCAGTAAAACAATGTGGAATAACCTTTATGCTTGGCTTATTAACGCCCGTGGAGTAACTGGGCCTTGGAGGTGGGAGATAATTTTAGCATGTTACCAGCAAAATGGGTTACAACCTTCAGTAGCTCTGTTTCTGTTAGGGATAAAGTAGGACACAAGCCCTGGTAAGTATGCACTGTTTTCAGCACCACAGGGAGATTTACTGTAAAATATGACTACGAATGTATATTCAGCGCACAGTACGATACAAACCTGGCCTGCTACTTGCACTGTCATTGGAACCTCCAGGACTCCAGTGTCTCTGTCAAAAAAGGTGTTGGTGTCTTCGGGTAAGGAGCGTCTGCAACGAGAGGTTTTTTCAGTAAATCAGAAAGCAGCAGTCAAAAGAAAAGATAAAGATGCAGACCCTGAAGACCCATTACTTTACTTTAACCCACGACTGCAGGATCGGCTCGCCAGGGAAAGCAGGAGAGAGATGCAGAGCGCGCCTCCACACTACTGTAGGTTGTAGCCATGGTGATGGGAGACGTAAGTATGATTCAAAGAGGCCCAGTAGTCATGCACAAGCTTATGTAAAACTCCAGTCCCTCAGCATCCTCCAGTGTTAAGAGCTGCTCTCGTGATAACATATGTACTGTATACACACTGTGCATATGTTCATTATCATGCAAACTGTGGTCAAATGTCAAATGTGGTTTTGTGGCTCGGCTCCAACTCCAACTCTCCACTTTCTCTTCTTTTCCCCCTGCCGCTCCTTTGCTTTTCCTTCCTCTGTTTCCCTCCCATCATCTGTCATCTCTGTCTTTCCCTCTTCACGCTCTTAATGCTGGTTGAAGGCTTGAGAGCTAATACTGTAAATGTCAGTGGTTTTTAAGGCTCTCCGGATGTCAGCGCGTTCTCTCCGAGCGCTACAACCGCAGAGCCTCGCCTTCGACAAATCCGTCAGCTCTTCAGGTTCGGGGGGGACAGTTTTCGGTTCCAGGCCTCATCTCTTGCACGCGACTTGCTGTAGTCTCACCCTCACTGAGTCAAAGCTACAGTAGATAGGTCACTTCCTCACACGTCAAAATTAAACCTCTGCATTTACGACGAGAAAAAAAAGAGAAAAGTATTTGTTTCCCTTTGCAGCTGAACCAATGAGCGCAGAGGGTGTATTTAAGGAAGCACTCTTGTTCTGCCTGCTAATAGAATCGCTGCTGGAGAGTCACTCTTGAATTAGCTTGGCAGGACAGAGTGGAAAAGCCTGGTGGGATGTCGCCAGGCCATATGCTCGGGAGAATTTTGCGGATGGATGGGGTTTCAGATTTGTCACTGTCCTGCACAGATTTACTCGTGTGTGCTCCTCTTCTCCCGTTGCCAGATTATCCACAGTCTCATCGAAAAAGTAATTCTCCTCCACAGTCTTTAATGATACTTCTGAGATTAGTAGCGGACATACAGTAATATAACTGAAATTAAATAGTAGTTCTAACTTAGAGCTGTTGTGTGTATCTCCAGATAATCTTACCAGGAGTTATAGAAATATCTGGGGTCAACTTTATCTCCATGTCCATCCTTAATAATCATGTAAAGTCAAAGAAGTGATAATCATGAGGAATCACCTTATCCATGAGAGCAGGGCTCCAAAAACATATTCACCTGGCATCTGCAAGAGCTCTTGATTTGAGCAAAGTGGCTGATTTAGTGCTTCCTTTTACCTGTATATATGTATATGCATGTATGTATATATACTGTATATACATATATATACATTCGCTTCAATTTGAAGTCCAGCTTGAATTTCACTATTTCACTTCACCATTAAAAAAGTGATTATGAAAAGGATTAAAAAACGGATTAAGAGGCTTAGGGATTTGTCATTATGCGGAAATGGATGGACAAAAACTACAGTCGACAACGTCACGTAAGAAATCTTCAAAATCACGTTCGACCAAACAGGTCATTTCGTTCGCTTGTTCTCTTGTGACTCGCAGCATCTTTAAAGTTTATGATACTGGTGTGAGCGCAGAACTAGCGGTGACGATACTGGCGGAGCTGTTCGGCGTAATCTGGAGTAAATCATCCTTGTAATCTCCCTTTTATCAGCTGGAACTGCCGGGCTGGGACACACTGCTCGCTCTGCAGAGATTACACCTAAAACCACTCATTCAAGCAATCCTATTCTAATGATCTCGTCGATAGGTTTACACAGAAAAAAATATATAAAAACACATTTCTCTCCAGTTTTTTTTAAGATCAGAAACATGCAGAATGTTTCACTAAACTCTGGTTTATTGTTTTTAAAACTACCACGATTTACCACGGCCCAAGTGAGCCGGGTCACATGGCTAGGTTATGTAGCTCAAATGCTAATTTCAACACACGTCTCGTGTTTGTTCAACGATTAAAGTAAGTCTGGTCCGACTTACAGAAGTAACAACTCTTAAACTGACATATTTCCTCAATTATCATTAAAAAAAACTAGAATTACCGCCTCACACTCGACATTTGAGTTAAATTGTGTCCTAATTAGTGACGGCTGAAAACGTGTTTTGCGAGGTCGCAGTGACCTTGGCCTTTGACCTTTCACCATCAACTTCTAATCAGTTCATTGTTGAGTCCAAATTAATGTTATTGCCAAATTTGAAGAAGTTCCCTCAAGGTGGTCTCGCGATATCACATTCAAGAGGCCAAAAAACACAAAAACAACAAACACAAAAACGTGTTTTATGAGGTCACAGTGACCTTTGACCTTTGACCATGAAAATCTAATCAGTTCATTCTTGAATCCAAATTAACGTTTGTTCCAAATTTTGTTACTGATTAATCGCCTTCACATGAACACGACTTACATATGTTCGTACGCACGGATAAAACCAAAAACATAAAGCCTCCGTCTCTGCCTGTCGCCAGCGCGGAGGCATAAAAACAAAATCATATCATGTCCTAGAAATTGGCTAACATGAACACAACGTCAGGCTGAATGAAGTGAAGTGAAATAAAATGGGTAACTAAGTCTGATTATCAGGTTTTAAGTTTCCATCTGAATGTTACTGAGCAGCTTTAGTCTCTAGCCAAACAAGATCACAAACCTGTGAACCACTGGCCTTGATACTGCAGAGGGGATTATGTGATGTATGGAACAATGCTGTGGATGTGTGAGGGAAATGTGTGGGCCGGATGGTGACAAATAAAAGTGGAGGAAGACAGGCAGAGAGGGATGAAGCAAAGGAAAGACGGTGAAGGATGTGGGCAGGTTGAGCGCAATCCTCCGGAGCAGGAAGCAAGAATGTGCTCACCCTCTCCCGAAAGCCTGAGGAGGGAAGGCAAGAAGCAAACACCTGTGTGAAGAATGAACGCTATGAGTCATTTCGGAATAGCGATTTTACAGCGTGTGAGTGTGTGTGTGGATGACACACTGAGTGAGAGCAGTGCTGCTAATGAGGATTTGGAAATTCAATCATAGGCTCGGGCTACGAAGAGTTGGCAGTGCCATTTTAAATGACACACCACTGCTGCACAGCACAAAAGCAAACCTCCCAAAAAATCAACAGATTGGGAGGCGAGATCCGACCATGACGGAGACGACACACAAAGGAACACGTCCTCCTGACATGTGTGATTTGTGTATGATTTGTATGGATTTCTCGTGCGGGTGGAGGACTCTCTCTAGAGGCTCCGGGCATCTTAAAAGGACGATTCCAGTCTTATTTTCGTTGCTATGGCATCATTTCTATTAGCTCTGATAACATTGCACTCAGCCGGTCCCAGTTTGTGTCTGTGTCTTGGCATCATCATAACATTGAAGTCACAGAGCGAAGCATTGCTTTTCCATTTAGGTCTTTTTTAAAGAATGCAGAAAGTTGTTTAACAACACTTATCACTGGTTTGAAAACTGTATTTAAATCAAATATATCAAAGACTCTTCTAACCATCTGGATGAAGAAATATTCCAACTCCTGAACAATAAAAATGACTCTTTGCCCATTTCCCAAGTTACAACTCGTTTCCCTAATCCAACCAAAGATGGCAGCCAGAAATGGCATGGTGTTTCTCTGCTTGATTTATCATCCCTTCTATTTGCCCACAGTAATAACTTTTTAATTACTTTTATTTTTTCACCCAAAGGGACAAACCGGGGTTATTACAGGTCAGTGGCTGAGATACTGGAACACGGCAGAAGTCCAGTTCAGCAAGAAACGACAGAGATCGTCCTCCTGTGAAAAAACGAGCCCACAGGTCGTCCGTGCAGCAGGTCGTTATGACCCACAGTTAGGTTTTGTTGCTAGGCGACATCTAGTGGTCGTAGTAATGATAACCGGAGCAAAGGGGAAAAGTGTTGGTGACGTAGTTTAAAGTCCACGTCAGGAAGAGGTGGTGGTCGACGGATGGGTGTTCGATTCCCGTGCGTAAAACAAACCGTTTATATTGTAACCATGGCAACAAAGATACATCATCTAATGTTGGGGAAGTACTTATTTTTAGCCCAAATCACGATCTTTTCCTGAACCCTAACCAAGCTATGACTGTTATTATAATAACCATGGCGACGGAGGTTCGGTACGCCCGCTGCCGTGGAGGCGCTATTTCAGGAGTCGTACCTGTGCGGTTGCTCAGGTTGGAGGACTGGTTGATCATTTCGGGGTGACAGGGTGTTTCCGTGTTCAGTAAATGGGACAGACGCTGCAGAAGAAGAACCTCTAGAAGAGGGATGAGGCGCCAATAAAGAAAATCAAACAGAAATCGCAAAGTGGAGAAGATTCGGTTTCATAGGAAGAGCAATTTCTGGGAGTTCAATACATTTTCAGGAGCTGGAAATCTGGGTTAGTGTCTTTGTTGGCAAAACCACAGTCGTATAATTTAGAGACTGGCCTTCTTGTTATTATTATTCTAACATCCCATATATCTGATAGAATAAGGATACCCTTTGTTCTCCACTGAGATAAAGAACAGGGTTAACGTTAACAATGCAATTTAAAGGTGTTCACACATTCCTGTGATGAATGACATGACGTGAATGGACGAGATTATCGTAGCTGTACAGGTTCTGTGTTGTGGTACAGATATAACAAAACTGATTAAGTAGAGCAAAACAACAATTTCTCCTAAAAATAGACTGAATAGTGAAGTGAACTGATATCATGCTGTTCCCATATCTCAGCAATTAACTCGTTGAGTTCAATGCGAACGTAACTGACAGAACTGACGGCCAAACCTTCAAAATAAGATCCAAGTTGTAATAAACTGGAATTATCCTTTAAGAACAAGAGTGTTGTAAACGAGAGCACAGGAAACTGGGTCTGGTGTCTTAGGTTACGTAAGCAGAATCAGGGCCAGCATATAAGCAGTGGCGGACGGTGGATGCGTAGAGCGAGGACAGGAGTTTGAGAATAACAGAGAGAGGCAGAGTGGATGTAGTTAGAGGGGAAGTGAAGGAGCGCCAGGACGGAGGACTGTGGAGACCGAGGAAACCAGAGAGAGAGAAGGAAAGGCAGAGTTAAGCAAAGAGGTGAGAGGCCAAGAAAAAGAGAAGTAATGTGTGAGAGAGTGGGAGAGGACAGAGAGAGAAAGTGTGATGCAGAGGGAGGAGGGAGGAGGGAGGGGGTGGTAGCTGTAGCTGTGTCGGTGCTCGTGAACGCTGTAATGCCGCGCTCTAATCCTTGCATTAAAACCTCTTCCGATTCACTAAGGCAGATTACTGACATTTTCCCACTTTCCCCTCCTGGCCCCTCACTGAACGATGACCAGGGCGTGCCCCTAACTTTTGTCATGTGCAAAGAAAAATTTTCTTTCTGTTTCTGTTTGTTTGTTTGTTTTTTTTCCCTTCCATCAATATCTCCTCAGCTATCAATACTGCTGAACTGTGAAGGGTGGGGTGGGGAGAGGAATGCTAGCGCCCACGCTGAGTTTTTACATACTGCACGCCTCTCATATCTGCCCTGGGGGTCCCCCCCGGTCCGCTCGTGCCTGGCATTCAAACCGCAGTTCAACTCCTGCCTCTCCATCTAAATATAGCCCATATTATCGTAGAAAGAATTACCATGTCCTTCAAAGTCATTAGAAACCATTATGAGAAGCCTTTGCGCCCCAGTGCTCAGAGTGCAGGTGTGTTGGAGCAACTCTTTTCTACCTGCTGGCTGACTATACATTCTGTAAGACTCCATCATATCAGCATTGTAGCACACTAGTTATTTCAGATTTATCCAGCTGATACTCTCCTTTGTCTCTCATTAAAAATTGCACAGTTAGATGCTCGTCTCTTAAGTTAGCCCTTTAGCTAATGTGAAGGTTGCTGCTGCTACTTCAGAGGAAAACCCTGTCTCATTTTCTGTGCACAAACATTTGTTGGTGTGTGAAGTGACTATTGTTCGTGGGAAACCATCCGAAGGAATATCAGACAAGCCTCGAAACGTCACTTTAGATTTGTGTATACGACTTATTTAACACCTATAATAAGACAACGGCTTCAGTTTGTTCCATCTCCTTTATGTCGAGGTTGATCACAACGGGATGATCACTCACTATAAATGAGGGGTGATTATTGCTAATTGTTGGCATTTAGTTATATATACAGTATATATGTGCATGCATGTGTACTTGGGTGTATATGCACACAAGGACATATATGAACTGAGACGATGTACATATGTCCCAAGCTAAGGTATAGCGTGTGCATGCTTGTATATTATATTTGCATATAGATACGTACAATACACCGTTTTTACCACTGACAGAAATCATCAAGCTCCAAGTTGTAATAAACCAGAATGCTCCTTTAAAGCTGGACTTTGTGTAATAGTGTATTATTTAACTGTGTGAGGATGGATGGGGAGTCAAACCACCGCAAGCCTGGCTCAACACACAAGTCTCCTTTGGAGTGACACAGATTGCACGTTCAGAGAAGGTTGATAGAATCTTAACAAGCTTACAGTCCAAAATAAGATTATGAACGCTCCGGTGGTTCCATTATAATTGCACCCTCTGCGTGTCCTTCCTCACCTCGGCAGGAACTTCAGTTGGGCATTAAACCTCGACTGGGCCTGGATGAAGCCGGTCTTCGGTAAGATCTCCATGTGTTTCCTCATTTCCGGGCACACCTCAAAAGTCACCTTCAAGGCCGTGCTGGCTCTGTCGCACACACAGGATGAGAGGTGATCAAAGGTCTCGCAGTTTTTCCTGTCTCATTAATTGCTGCAGCTTTACTCGCTTTACTTTGCATTAAACTTTTTAGACACTTTCTTTTACTAGTGATTAAAGCAGAATTATTATGCATGCATGTTAAAATAACACACCCCCTATTTACAATCCAAATTTATTGACCTGTTCATATCAGCAAAACTCTTATTAGTAACAACATATTTGAGGCACCAATAACATTAATAAGTTATTTTATTTCCATGATGCCTGCTCATTGAAGCTACAGCATGTTTAATGTTATAGAAAGATAATAGTTCAACGGTTTCTGCTTCATTATAAAGGTTAACCTTCTCCCTCCCTGTTGTTGGATACTGAGCTGAGCCGATCAGATTGAGGATTCTTCACATGAGCGTCCTGTACAACGCTTTTCCTTGCGAGGATAATTTGTTGACCTACAGTTTTTGGGGTCCTCAGGCAAGATCCTTTCCCTTTTAGCTCATTGATACAAGAGAATAACTAAAATATATCATAGGTCATTGACACTTTGAGGTGCAGTTTTTCAGGCGGCAGAATGTCCAGTGGACATCACAGGGCAAACCTCTTATCCCTCGAGGACTCAGCAAGGACAGAGAAAAGCCGTCCGTTTGAGTGACACCTAGAGAAATTGCCTCGTATGGAGTGATGTACCCCGAGTCCATATCATTCAGGTGACCCATTTTCCAGGGAGCTCCAACAGATGGTTGCGCCTGTGGCTACGAGCCAGTTATAGCTGAGGTTTGTGATATAAATGGCTCCTCACCTTGGGAATTCTCCATCACATCCAACAACAACCCACACTCACACACCTCTATGAAACAATGACAGCACGAACACACTGTGGTGTGCTCGTAACATTTTGTTATGTCTGCTTTCATTTCCAAAGACACAAAGGTGAGTGACGAGCGGGTTGTGGCCAAACAGACTTCGGAGGACTCTCAAATGAAATGACCCGCTCTGTGCGAGGTCAAACAGATGGTTGTTTCCCCGAGGCAAGGACGCTCAGGGACACTCGTGAGATATTAAGTGCTATCTTTATTCCAGCCAAATGATAACCTTCAAATCACTCTTGGAGGAATATTCATGGATACATAATCATTTAGGGTAATTAGGCATTTTAATTAACAGGGGCATTTAGCTGATCTTGCCTTTTTTTTTTTTTTTTTTCCTGTGACCAGTTTATTTCTGAAGTAACGTTTAATCGTTTAAAGGTGAGTTCATGGCAATTCACTTAATTCGCTCGCTTGGGATAAAGAACGCACTGATACTCATTATATAGTTAACCTTCACATTATCTTTTGTTTTTTTTCTTTAATTTGGTCACAGATTTACACGTTGAAACAATTTGATTTCTGTAATTCAGGGAAACAAGTTCCTAAAGTTGAAGAATGCTTAATGAGAGTCGGGTCTTGTCGTCCAACATTAGTGGCTGAACTCTCTCTCTAAAGCTCTTGAGACTGAACAGGAACAAATAACTGCTGTCAGGTTTTAAAATCTTGTGGGAAGCCCTCCCAACAGAGTGGAGGTTATTGCAGCAGCAGATAAATGATCATGGGTGCAAACTCTGGCTGTTAAAGTTCCTCCAGACATGTTTTAAACTCTGCAACAATCCTCAGCTGTGATTCATCTTTAGTTTAACGTGTTTTCACACATGAAAAGTGGGGGAAAAACATAGTTAGCATCATGTATTTAGTATTTAGTTTATGTTGTTTGTTAGCTTGTAACTGGCAGTGGCTGACACAGTGTTAGCGGTTGTGCTAATGCTAGCTCTCACTCTCTCTGTACTGACAAGATTTTAAGGTTTATTTAGCCCCGCCCCCCGCTAGTTGACAGGATTGGTTCCTTAGGTTTGTGACGCAGTGTTCAAGGTGGAAACACTCAGTCATGGTGTTAATGATTATTTCACTCATCATCTTATATTATATATAAAAACATCATATGGACGTTAACGAGGTGAAACACTGGGGTTTCATCTTTAAAAGACACTGAAAACTGTATGAAAAGACATGACTTGGGAAACTTGGTATTTTCCTTGGGTTTGGTTGAAAGTGCTATTTTTACAGCCTACAACATTCACCCACATCTCTCACTCCGCCATGTGCTGCTGGTAGCACCAGCTTCCACACTGTGACTGCACACCCTTTGTGTTTCTGTCATTTATCTCCAATAAAATAACTCTCTGGCACGTGAGCGTGGCGTGATTCCCCTTCCTAGTTTGAGGCAGTTTACTCGGGAACCTCTGTGTTCTGTGCGTCATGGCCCTTTCTCTCCCGATGTTTGGAAATACAAGAGTTTTTTTTTTCACACAATAAAGGCAAAAGGCTCAAGAATAATTTGGAAAAAAAAAAAAAGAAAAAGGTCTGTGAACCATTTTTTTCAAACTATAGAAGAAGAAATGCAGCAAACGGCGTCTCCTGAAGTTCAGACAATGATTATAGTGTTAGAGAGAGAGAAACAGCAAAAACAACATGGTCGTTTACTGTTTCTGTAAGATTCCTGAAAAGCTGACAGCGATAATGACACGTGATTGTTGAGTGAAACAGTTTCAGGTCATGTTGCAGAGAGATCGCTCGTGTTGAGTCTGAATACCTGAGTTATTCTGGACTGTGAGTGCCCACAGCTACAGCAGTGCCTCTGCCCTTTCTTGAAAGGGCCAGGTGGCTGCGCTTGCTTACTCCACATGTACTCCAAAGCCTCACGGGATACCAAGCCTTCATGGCAAGGGTTCTAGGCAACAATCCCCACAATGCAGCACTGTCAGCTTTATACTGAATAAAATATTTAAAAAAAAAAAAAAAAACCAGCTGGAAGAATAGTTTTTTTCTTTTCTTACCATCTAATGTTTCTATTACTCAAGCCAAAGAACAGAGGACACAGGTTGGACTCTGACAAGGTGCGGTGGGAATATTAGAAATGCAGTAAACAGGGAAACCGAGGACAGAATGCTTTGTGTAGCTGGCTGGTTGTGTTTGTTTGTGGCCTGAGTTTGGGCAGGGATGCTCATCTCCCCAGCAGGTGCCAGTGGAGGAGGGTTTGAAAAGAAAAAAAAAAACAACAAAAAAAAAAACTGTTCCTAAAAAGAAAAACTCTGCCAACTGAGCTCAGAATATTTCAATCATTGGCTCACAAGCAAAAGTCAAACACTGCACATTTTAAAGCCTCCTAAAAATTCTTTCAATTAGTCGGAGTGATATTCAAATCACTGGCTCACAGACAAGAGAGACATATTCAATTATGCGTGTACTGTTCTCTTTAAGAATCTGTCACAAACTCCGGAGGACTTGTGGGATATCTACTCATCTACTCAAAGGGAAAAGTGACAAATCGTAAGATGAAAGCAGCAGCTCTCTTATTGTTTCCCCAAAAAGCCTGCCAAGTTATTTTGTGTTCAAATTACTGTCTTGGAGGCAGAGTGACATATTGCATAGTTTGCTGGTTTCAAACTTCAAAGCTGCTGTTCACACTGATGCTGTCATCGTCATGTTGTCACATGTGCTGGTTTGCCAGCGCACCAGATGGCAGTTGTCACAAATACCCCACCCCCACACATGCACTCCCTCCCCCCCACGTGATGTGACACAATGACTGGCTAGGTGGTGGACCACACGCCTGTTAATGTTAGTCTTAATCTCCTCTGCGCATCATAATGTATCACATCCATAATCAAAAAGGATTTACTGTTGTCCCGTGCTATTGTGTGGGCCAGGAAGCGTTGTGGGGATGTGAGCTTACCGCCTGCTCCCTTCCATCATCCTCTGTTTAGGAGCATTTATCAGCTAATACATCTCCATTATGTCACATCCGCACATTTGTTGAACATCTCAATACGGCGCTCAGTCGTGAGCGTAGTTAGGCGGGGAGTTTTATGTTGGGCTGGCTGAAAAGTAAGCTGGCCTTGTCAATTTTAAGGGATTTCCATGAGCCGTTTTTCTGTGAAAATGCCTGCTTTGGCAGAGACTGAGTATGTAAGGGGGTTTTAGTATTGCATTCAGCAGATAAGCCAGCGTGCCACGTCAGCAGTCCATGCTACTTTCCAAACTCTACTCCAAGGACGTTGGATGACAACAAATAAAATGATTAAGTATGACATGCACCACTCATTTCTGCAGGGGTTTTATACAGCCTCTTGAATGTAAACACTCTGAGATAGTTTGTTTTGATTAATAAAACTAAACTAATGCTGTAATCAAGATTTCAGAGCTTCAAATTTCAGGATTTTTTTGTATTTTAAGGATCTAGAATTTATTTAATCATTTCAGGTATTTTTGATTTCATCTATCTTTTTGTTATTGTTACAGTCTGTGACAGAATGAGCATAAAGATGTTGTTTCACACTGTTTTGTCAGTGCCTCTGAGAAGTGCTGACACTGTGTGGGAGTTCACGACCTTCTTGTCTGCATGACTTCAGTCTCCTACACACCTGTCTACCAGGTGTATTAAACACTATTCAACATGACTGTACTAGTGTTGGCTTCTCTTTGTAGCTGCTCGAGCTCTCAGGACTAGCTTCCCTGCTATCAGCGACACAGCCGTTAGCATCCTCGTCACTGTCATCAGATTGCGTCCGTATGAAAGACGTCTGGGGTCGACGTCTGTCCGTCTTTGGTTTTTAGAGGGATTTGTAAGACATGTTGGAAAGCTTTTATTGCACTTAATGTAACGAGTTGTCAACCTGTCTCTGCTCCACTCTGTGAGTGTGTGTGTGTGTGTGTGTGTGTGTGTGTGTGTGTGTGAGTGTGTGGGGGTGGGGTGGGGTGGGGTGGGGGCAGTGAAACAGAAAGCAGAGCAGAGAAACACCACCGTTAAGACTCTCACACTGAGCTGAAATCAGATGAGTGCAAATAAATTAGGTAAATAACAAATAAAACTTTCTCCTGACATGTTTTAGTTTAACACTTGGTAGCTGACAGTCCACAGTCATTTCTCATTAGCTTGGATTGGTGACTGCTGTTCCCATTTGCTGAAGCAATTCATTCTTTTGGGATATGCGATGCAGTCCTGACTTTCCAGACAGTTTACCACATTATACATGTTTTTTTTTTTTTGACAAGATGCTTCCTCCAGTAATACAGCAGCCTTTTTATCATTTTGAAAGGCCATCATTTGCCCCATGTTGCCCTGACAAGTCATACAGTATATTAAAGTGGTGATTATCATAATGACACTGTTTACTGGCATGCAAATAAACCCAACTTTCCTACGTAGCTGAATTTGCAGTTGCACAGTTTTGGTGCCGGAGGGTTAAGTGTCGTATGGAAACTTTGCTCTAGCATTTGATTTCCCCGGCGCCGTACAATATATGGCGTCCTGTGCACCAACTGCCTGTGTCCAAAGTGATTTTACCCGGAGACTGACGATGTTAGAGAGCTCTGTGTGAACCTGTGGTGGCGAACATTTAGTCTCACTTAAGTAAACTGTCCAGTAAAGAAACTACAACTCGTCCTGAAGTGAGAAGCTGGTGAATACTGTGCTGTTCCTTTGGGAAGAGACTGTATTTCTGTGTGTGGTGGTGGCACCATCTGCTCAAACTGTACATGAAAACAGAGTTCAGCCCCAACCGACATCAATACTGAAACTGATTACAAAGATAGAAGTTTAATTTATGGGTGCCTTAGTTTCTGAATAATTTCCTTGAAATTAACAATTATATAATTATATAATTTCTTCGGTACAAAGTTTACATGCAGCTGAAGATGAAAAATATGAAGTTTGCTTTTAAACAGCCACTTATAAAACTCTGGTTCACTCTTACAAACTCCAATGAGGCAGCACTCACACCAAGCGGGCAGATTCCAATTTCTTTATAATTAGCACCAAATTACTGACTCTTGTCCAAGAAACTTCCCAAAACTAACAAAGACTTTTTAATTAATTTTTAGGAAATAGGAAACTAAGGGACCCGTAAAATAAAGGGACACACAGAGAGCTCATGTTCCAGGCCAGCTGGCCTTTAACACTACAGGTGCCTGATGTTTTAAATTAGCAGTAGTTCAGACACATCGATCTGAAAACTAATACAGTTCAAATAAGATTTTGTACAGTTTCTTAGCGCTCTACTTTGTCCTTGTACCAATGTTGTCTGTAATGTTGCAGATGATTACTTTAAGTGATACCAGTGTGGTATTAAATAACATCTTACCGACATATCTCTTTAATCTGACTTTTCATTTAGAGCAATATTATAGATTCAGTCTTTGTTTTCTAACCAATGGTTTCATATTTAATTTTCATCCCTTGTGTTTACTTTATGTTATTGTGTTTTATTGACTTTTTCGAATTTGTTTTTAACTTTTTATTGTTTTGTCTTGCTACATGAAGCCATTTTAGCTGCGTGTTTGTATGAAAGGTGCTATATAAATAAAGTTGAGTTGAGTTGTTTTTATGAGAAAATAATTCATGTCTTATTTGGTGAATTTGTTTAGAATGAGTGAGTTTATAAATGTGCTGCAGGGATTTTTGTTTTACTTCATGAACACGTAGTATTTTACAGTAAATACTGTGTTTTGTTTTGTGGACTCACTAAGAACCTTTAGGTCGTTCTCTTGGGTTTTCATTGCAACCTGTGCAACATGCATAAACAGATTTTTCAGCGCTACAGTGCAGACGCTCTGGAACACACCTGCTCTGCACCACGATGCTGTCTTGATAGAGGCGGTCAAACATGCAGATCTTCAGATCAATGCTGGGCTGAACCACCCACACAGGGATGCTGACGGCAGTGCCCCTCACCTGGATGGGTATCTGTGTGAAACAACGAGTCTTCAATCGCAGATGATTTACATAAAATAACACTGATATGAACAAAAAATCTTGCTTTTCTCTCCGTGACATTCACAAGACAATGAACATGTTGAGTCTTACTGGTTTGCTGGATGGGTCGGAGAACTTGATGTGGAAGTCTAGTGTGGTCTCTCCTGGAACAGTTGGAGTGAAAACAACCTCCAGTTTGATGCTGTCAAAGGGTCCGATCTCCACCTCTGTAACCTGAGGGAGGGGTACATCAAACAGAACAGGCAAATATTTGGTGCTGAAATATTTTATTTTACAGTTCAGTGTCTCTGAGAAAGATTCTACTATCACTCTAGAAGACAATGTAAAACAACCAGTTAAGCTTGGTAATGAACATTAGATGAGCCCAGTGGAAATGTAAGCTCAGGCTATGACCTCTACAGATTTTCACTGAGCTTTATGAGCTTTCTCTGCTTGAATTCTGATGGTGAAATAATGCCCACAGGACAGAGTTTAGTTGAACTGTTTTACTTCATGGCACAAAACCATTTCTGACCATATACAGGAAGCTGAATTTTCTCAGATGAGCAACTTTAAATGACAATAAAACGACAGTGAAAGGTGGTGTGGGTCGTCTGCTCTGCTACAGAGCATCGAGCTTGTGAGAGCAATAATAAAGAACTGAAGAGAGTATCTGCCTCAGCGCTGTGGAACCACGATAGCTTGATGGATAATCCACCATTTAAGACATCAGCCTTCAACCATAAATTGTGAAAGTATCAGTCGAGATGACAACGATCGAGCCGTGGGCATGTGGGCACACGCGATACACACACACCCAAAACAAGCACAGAGGGAGAGGCGATGCACCATTAGCTCCCTGCCAGAGAGACGTAATGTACCCTGAACTACTCCAGAACTTCACATGGGCCACGAGGCACAAACAGCATCAGCGCTAAAACAACAGAGTCTTCTACAGACAGAGGGGATCGGCTCATCGGAGACAGAGCAGGTGTCTCTCTGGCCGTCCAATCACACCTGGTCAGATCCATCAGAAGCAGTTCGTTGAGTTCAATATCTTCATATATGACAATGTTCATACCAACAGCTGCAGAAGATCCTGAGCAAATATATCTCAATGATAAACAGATACATAATGTGTATGATATTTTATCTAAAGTTAGTTTAGTCCACGTGCATCTCAACACGACTGACAGGCTACAGCTACGCTAGCAGCTCTGTGAGGTTGTGCCTTGGCACTGCACTGCTATGAGCTAAGTGCTAACCACTTAACATGCTGTTGTTAAGGAGCTATAATGTTTATTATGTTCACCATCTTAGTTTAGCATGCTAATTAGCACCAAACACAAACCTGATCTTTTGACCGGCTGTTGGTGTTTGAAGAAATGATCTAAGTGAAATAGGATTCATCCTCTGAGGACTAAAAATGTCTGAACTAGATATTGATGTCAAGATGACGGCGCTCACCTGGTGCTCGATCTATCTACCTTTCATACTACTACTACTTACATTTCCTAGACTGAAGTCATTGGTGTCGGGGGGGCTCTCGTCTTCCTGGGCCTCTGCATCGGTGGACACACAAGCCTCAGGGACGGCCTCTGGAGCGGCAGCTGAAGCCTCTGACACTGTCACACATCGACACACAAAAAAATTCAACCGGATGGTGGCAGCGTCACCATCGTCAGTACTATCACACCGTAATCAGTAAACTTTTTCCTGTTGGCAGAGAGAGCACGCACTTCACATAGTTCTTAAATATGAGAGAGGGATGAGCAGATGTCATGAGAATCCTGGCAGGTGTAAATAAATAAAGTACCACTATGAGCAAGAATCTCAACACTAAATCTGATGTGACGTATGTGATGTAAAAAACAAAGCTTCTGTCCAAAATGTAACATCAGCAGCCGGTTGGCCAAGAACAACCTCTCTTCACAATGGCAGGTGAAAAAAAGAAAATAGAAAGAGCCACTTCAACACAGTTTTTTCCCAAAGCTAGCAGAGCAGAAGTAAAAGACTGAACAGCTTATCAAAGCATCAGTGGAGGAAAGTGCTGAGTGCAGCGATGAGACTTCAGATCTGAGAGAACATAAAAGAGAAGAAGCCTCCTTGGCACCAGCTGTGAGAGCAAGGTGAACCCTCTGCTTAATGTGTGTGTGTGTGTGTGTGTGTGTGTGTGTGTGTTCTTTTGCTTTTCTTATTACAAGAACCAAATGTCCTAACAGGAATAGAAAGATGAGGACAATCACACACAGTTACTCTGTCACTGTTGCATATAAATCATTTTCAAATAGATCTAACGTTGTTTGTTTTTTCAATACTCAATACAAAATATTATAAAACAAGATTATCAGTTTACAGCTATGCTAGTGGCTCTGTGGGGCTGAGCATTCCTTTGAGCTACATGCTAATGTCAACATGCTAACATGGTCATAATGACAATGCTAACTAGCTGATGTTTAGCGGGCATCAGTGTTCGTCTTAGTTTAGCATTTTAGCACTAAACACAAAGTACAGCTGAGGTTGATGGAGACATCGTTAGTTTTGTATGTGTTTGGTTATAAACCAACCTATTAAACAAATTGAAATGTTGACCTTATGATAACACTAAAGGAACAGTTTTCAGATCACCAAATATATGGATGTATGTGTGATAATATATAAGGATTCATCCTGATGGGAACATGAATGTCTGTATGAAAAATTCATGGCAATCTATCCAGTAGTTGTTGAGACATTTCCATTTCAACCAAAGTGGTGGATTGATGAACATACCAAAAAAAAAAAAAAAAAAAAAAAAAAAAAAAAAAAAAATATATTATATATATATATATATATATATACATATATATATATACTGTATATATGGGTGAAAAATATCAGCTTCAAACATATTTTGTAAGGCACAAGGGTGTTTTAGGACGGGTGCTTGGTACTTAGACAAGTGGGGAAAGAATGTAGAGACAGTCCCAGATTTGGCAGGTGCAAGTACAGGTTCAGGTTTCATTCTTGGGTCCATGCAGGACTCTAGTTCACGGTATAAACTGGTTCTTAATATGTATGATACCTTCGTGTGGTTTCTCTTGCTGCGACGTCTCAGAAAGCTCCTGACTCTCTTCTTGCTTTGGTTGGATTCCTCCGGTGGACGCGGATGCGGAGCTCTTCCGACTGTCAGATGTTGTGTTTTGACTGCTTGTCTCCTGTCAGCCAACAACACATTGGCATTATTTAGCTTTTACACATGAGAGTTTATTCATATGACTGTCTTTAGACCTGGTAATGTTGACCGACTACACACTCTAGTCACCCTGGTCTCTAACTCAGCTGTAGCTGCAATGAAATTCACTCCAACACGCTATTGAAAGTCTGACCTGGCACGTGTGGGCAGAGTCCTGAGATGGCAGCTGGACACGGACGGCTTCTGGACTGAGACGTGTGGAGGTGTCCAGGCTGAAGAGTGTGGCCAGCGCACCCTTGTTGGTCAAGGTGAAAGTCCGTGAAATAGTCTGGCCCACCACGTGTGAACCGAAGTTGATTAACTGGCTGTCAACCTCCAGCTAGAGAGACGATATATTCACATGCAGTAATTATCATATGCAGTGATAAGCTGCCAGCTTCAGTACATAGTTTTACATACATTAATACATATACGTGAATTGATTAAATAATACACAGAGTATAATTAGACTGTTATATTGGGATAGATAGGCAGTCAGTGCTGTTTTTCAATAATCATTGTTCCTACTTGGCCACTATATTTGCCAACAAAATCCATCTTACATTAACAGGTATTCATGTACAGCAAGAAAAAAATGTCCTTTCAAGACAGACAGAACGCTATGAGACAATTACAGAGTCATTCATAATGTCCAGTAGTTGTCTCCAGGTTGGCGACTGCACACTACTCACATCACATTTCTTTATGGTGCATTTGACAGGCACAGAGAAGGGACCTGCTGCTGATGCAAACCGAAGCTCTCCTTCCAGGTCCTCGTTGATCTGTAAGGGATCAGATAATGGAACAATGCGTTGCTTCAAAACAGCGTCGGCCACATCGCATTTAGTTCAGGATGAAGGTTTGACTGTAGATTAAACATCAGACGTTTTATACTAAAACAAAAGAGTGGAGCGACAAGAGAAAACACATGACGACTTGGCTGAGAAGAATCAGTTGTAACAGCTGTTTGCACGAAGTTCATTCTCTCTAAGATTATTTTTTTCAAGGGACACTTCATTATTTATCTCATTTGTTAACTAAACCCATCTATGCTCAGCTTTGTTCCAATTGGACAAAATGCTGATACGCAGAAGCAAATTTCACGTTCAAACAGCATCAACACCACTGAAAAAACAGGCAGATGCTATTTGCACCCAGGGTGGATAGCAAATGTGGCTATTTACACCTGAGTGTTAAAGCTCTCCTGGACAAAAAAAGTATTTTGGTGCCAAAAACTTTCCAAAGTGAAACTGAAACTTAAAGATAAAAGAACAAACTAAAATTTATGGCGCTTATTAAACAGCGCACTGCAACAACATGTGCCGTCGTTTACGCCATTTTTTAACGGTGCAAAGCCATTGAGTGTTTCTTATGGGTATAAATAGCTGAATTGTTACTGCATGACAATTCTCACCCAGATGCAAAAAGACACTACAAAAGAAAAAGAAAAGAAAAAACCCTATGAGTCTATTAACGGCAGCATGTAGTGTAGGTGTAGTGGGAGTAGTGATGTGACTAACCATAGGTTGGAAAACAGCCTGCATGTCACAGGACATCCCAGCACATAAAAAACCAGGAGGCTCAAAGCTGAAACACAAAGCACAGGGAGTTATGAATAAGGCAATTTGCATTTTTCATAATATTGCTGCTCCTATTATTCAGCTGGATATTACACAGTTGAGAGGTTGAGGTGATATTGCTCAGAGTAAAATACTTTATCTAATAGACGTGTTTCTGATGATTAACAGAATGTAAGAGCACTGTTTGCTTGTGTGTTGGTACATCAAGTATGAGTCTTTGCAAGGCCTCACATGCAGAGCAATAACACAAGACTCAAAGGAAACGTGATGATTTTAAAGCTACATAAAAATAAAAAAAGATCAGCAGCTTCAGAGAAAATGCTGATGTGTGATGAATCTCCTGAGAGCGGAGAAGATGAGCGTTAACTGAGGTCAAAAGTCAACTTGATGCTCAGGCACAGAAAACAAAGAGAGGAAAAAGCTGTTGCTCCATATGAAAACACTGCAGTGTGGAACAGAATGGTCTGGTATTTATTTCACAGCCAAATCTTATTATAACGCACTGCATAACGTACCGGGAACCTAAAGAAACACGAGCACTGTGAGATATTTCAAAGCAACATGTGTATCTCACGGCACATGTTGTACGCCAACCCTAGTGCTGCCCCGAGGAGCTGGATAACTCGCCGCCCTTCCAGAGACACAAGAAGAGGCCACGGTCAATACGAACATGGCAGCCAGCCAGAGCAGCAGAGAGGATTCTCAAGATTCAACACACAAACAAAAATGTTAGACATTTGCAACCGTGAGCAATAACTAGGAAGCAGCAACAGTTGGAGAATATAATGGATTAGTAGATCTTATTAATGGTGTCATTCTTTTACAAAGTTAGAAAATTTGAAATCAGAGAACAGTCATGCAGCAGCTACTTTGTCATGTATAGATGATGAGGTATCTTCTGCGCCAAGTTGATGTTTTGGCCTGAAGGTGGCACAAGACGAAAGCCGAGTGTCCAAAATGGAAAAGGGTTCATATGAGTTTTTCTTTCTTTTTTTTTCACATCAACTTTTCTAACTCTGTAAAGAAGGAAAAGAAATACCATGGTTTTCTTTCTCTGGCTATGAGGTGCTCCAGTCAGTGGCTCAATACAAAAATTGACAGCGCGTCTCCTAGCAACGCCGGCTCTCCGATGTCAATCAAACAGTGGCATGGGAAACGGCCCTCAACAAGCCTGAAGCTGAAACTGTTTAAACAAACGTGTCCAAAAACATTTTTAGCCTCTTATGAAAAATAGAAAAGGATGAATAATAGCTGCAATTTCATGTGAGTTTATATTTTACAGTTGAAATTTTTGTTTTACTTAAAAACAATTTAAGTACAGACACAAAGGATCTGTATATGTATGGATGTATACGGTATGTAAATACATGTATAGTTGTAAAACACAAAAAATTGTGGCAAAACAAGTTCAACAATATCAGAAATGTAGCTGCTGAAGACATTTTAAAGCTCCATATTTTCTTCTTCGTCTGTGTTTTATTTGAAGTGTTGATCAATTAGAAGATATATTTGTTGTTTTAAGAAAACAAAAACCATCTCAGTGTAGTTTTACATCTCCTCTCTCAGGCTTCTCTCTGGAGCTCTTGTAACAACAGGTCTGTGAGCCAATCAGAAGAGAGGATGCCCTGAGCCTCTCTTCTGATTGGCTGACTGTTTTATGAGTGATCCAATAAAAATAAAGCAGATTTCAAGTAAAAACACTTCAAAGAAACCAAATCCTGCAAGGTTAGGATGGTGGGTCCAGGTGGGCGGGGCTAGGTGACTGTTTTGTTGTGACATCACAAAGTTCCAGAAGTCCTGACGGCTGGTTTTAAGGCTCAGTTTCTGAATACAGGCTGTGTGCATTTCTCTGTGGACTGAGGCTTTGATACTTTCACAGTATTAATATAGAACCTAGACCTGATCTATACACACTACACATGGACAGAGACCTTTACACTATATGGACCTTTAACTGCAACAGAGAAATGATAGAGACATGAAGCAACTGGAACGTGACTCAGGCAAAAATTTACACAACACTTCAGTGGAAATTGTTATGAAGTAGACGGTTGAAAACATGTAGAGACCATCAGTCCTGTGAGATAACTATAACCACAAAGCATTTTGAGAATTGATATTAGCCTCTTCTGAAACAGGCATGAAGCTCTTTTGATAAAGACCTTTAAAGGCACTTTACGCATGGTTGTTGCATAGCTGGAGACATTTATCATAAATTCCTCAATATTTGCACACACTTGCAAATGAAAAAATACTTTGAAAAACAGTAAAACTCCGACATAATTAACTATCAGTGCATACTGTTATCAGCACCACTGGGCAGTGGAGCATTAGGTTTGGTTTAAGCCAGCTGTTTGAAGTTGCTGGTCCAGCTGTCGGGTGAAGAACTTGGACCAGGCTGTGCTGAAGCTGCCGTCCAGCTCACCACTGTGACCTGGACGTGTATGAAAGGATTCCACCTGGTTGAGTAAGTCTGGTGGTAATTATAAATGTCAGATTGTACTTTTATCAGTTTTTTTCTTTCTTGGCTAATTTCCTCCCTTAATGGTGCCATTCTTCTTTTTCCTAGCTTCAACACAGGTGGTATGAAAAGACGTGAAGAGAAATAGAGCAGCTCACTTGGGATTAAACGCATGTGAGGCAGTGTTTCAAGAAGCCTGCTACAGCCCTATATAAAGTGCTGCAATTGAGGCCATACTGTACAGTATATCCATCGCAGTACACTGAAGCGATGGCGCCGAGACCATGCCTGTACAGTATTACTGACTGTGCCCTGTGCTCTATTATACATTCTCCTACAGTAAATCAATATCCATTCACAGTTCATCGTTCGGTTCAACAGAGCTAAAACACACAATCTACAGTTGAAGCATCAACACTCCAACAATGTGTGCGAGTATTACCTACACAGTATAATCTTGTTGTTGTACTCTTATTGTTTCTGTTTGCATGTGGTGGCGACATCATAATGCAGATCTCTGTAGTGCAGTTTAAGGAACCATTTGAAAGCCATGTGAAAATATGTGGATTGTTTTGAATACAAATAATGGATTTAAAGGAGTTTTAACCGATGCTCATATTGCATTATTTTTTTATGGAGTGCTAGACGGACTACCAGAGAAGACGAATAAAACAAGCTGAGTTAAGTGCAGCATGGATTTCTGATGTCAGACACTAAAATAAATTTCATGCAAATGAGAATATGACAAGGCCTTTACAACTATCTTTATCTGGCTGGTTTCAACAGGACACAACCGTAACACTGGTATACATATGACTCAAGGTTCTGTTTCACAGCTGCAAAGTCCTTCAGACAAATCAAAATGCTGATACACCACTTTACCTCGAACAAGGGTCGAACAAGATATAATTTGACCTCCAGCTAAAATTCAATGGAGGTTTGTATAGGACGCAAACAGACTGCAAATCTGACAGTATGCACTTCTGAATACAACAAGTGCAGGAAGCTCTACTTGCTCAGATCAGGACAGACAGGATGCAAAATGAAACACTGAGTCTTCTCCTGGCATGATTTGGACCAAATTAAACAAAGTGTAGGTGTGATTGCACCTCGGATTTTTTGGAGAGTACCACCCTTTCTACTACAGTCTTTTATCTGCAGATCACGGAGGGGTGTCTTCCTCTCAGACAGTCACTTCCAATACATGCACGGAAGTGACACTAATTGCAAAAACACAGCTTCCACACAATGGCTTTTCACTGAGTCTGGCAAGCCTGGGCTGTTGTGGTTTTTTGTCCCAGTGGTGAATAGATACAGCAGAGCCCATTCTGGCACAAATGCACCTACACGGGGGGAGGTGGGCGGGGGGGGATGGGAAGCCATATTTAGAAATTCAGGGGGCGTGTAGGGAACTATGGGCTGGTGTGAAAAAGCCCAGTGTGTTTCTGGTTCACGTTTCTCTCTCCTGCTGTGTTTGATGTTTAGCTGGGTGAGCCACGGAGGCTTCGGAGTTGTCACGACTGATGTCAATATTGTCGCTTTTTAATGTGTGAATAACCAGCAGGTTTTACACACAGCAGACACTGAATAGTGAGAGGAGGTACGTGTGAACGGTACGGTGGCAGAGACAGGTGAATTTGTCAACATGTGTAGATACAATTCAGCTTTTAAATTTCACGTTTCCTCACCTCAGATTATATTATTCCTATACTAGTTTGCCAATGATGCTGTTGCAGCTACAGTCGTTGGATGTGAAATACACAGTAAATTCACAAGATTCATAAAAACACAACAAAGCTAGACCCAGACTGTCTGATGGACCCGGTGTACTGGGAGAAGTGAAGCCGGTCTGACAGCTGCCCACCGCAGTTGTAAACGCTTACAGGATAATGGCACATTGAAATTCCCGTCATATCCAAAGACTCTTGCGTCAGTTGCTTTAATGATATCACCATAAGATGACCTGACTGAGAGTGAGGGGAAGAGTACCACACGCAGGAAACAACAGACATGTCTGCTGGCGTGGTGCAGTACATTCACTTCTTGTTTTACTTTTGAGATGAAACCGCTCTGAATGTTTATCTGTGACATGCTGAAACAAAGTGTGAGAGTAGTACAAGCAGAGAAGGTCAGTAAACCCGCTCAGTGATGTCAGTTAAAACAATATCTGTCTACAGTTTGCTGACATTAGCTGACGTTAGCCGCTATTAGTCCTGATCCAGGACTTTCCTTCAACGTTACACAATCAGATCTCCCTGAATCTGGATATTTGAGTCACTCAGTGCTCATACATTTTATTTTTATTGTTGGATAACTGACTTAGGGTCAGCACACAGGACACAGAAATGACAACCGGCAGGTGTAATGAAAATAAAATCAAATTACTAAGACTACAAAACATTTTTCCCATTAAAGTCAATACAAATCATATAAAATCAAAGGTGTTATAGGATGGGTTTTTTTTTGGAGTGCTGCTCAGCTGCAGAGAACTCAGTGCTGCCACTGGTGGCTGGAAGCTGTACTACAACAATAATACTCATTTTGTCTTCTTTGCATACTCTGGCCACCGGTGGCAGCACTGAGCGCACTGCTGCAGTGCAGCGCTCCAGTTGAGCATTAGGAAGAAATCCTGCACCATCTTTTATTTTAATGGAACAAAACTTTCCTTATCTTCATATTGTGTGTTTTTATTAGTTTGCTTGACGTCTGATGACATTTTTTTTTTATGACTGCCTTCCATCTGGTGTGTTCAGATTTTCATCATTCTTCCCATCACAAATTTCATGAGCTGCAAAATTACAAAAATGTCCATAAAAAACCCAACAGCATGACCGTACTGAACAGAGTAATGGTGTGTTTTAAAGCTGATTAATTTGTAAAAAACAGATTTTTGTATTTTTAGAAATAAATATCCAATTCTGCCATTTATGACAGTGAATAATAAATACGGTGACAAACAGGTGCAGCGGGAAACCAAATAAGCTTTGTCATGATGGAAGAAATTATTTTGATTTTTTATATCTAGTACTAATTAATTTGAGGTTGAAAGTCAACAACAGGCAGCACCTGTTATCTTTCAGGAGTACCTACAAATAAAATCTGTATAATCATAAAAAAAAAATAAATCTGTCTCAGTGACATGACGGGGAGATACAAGAGAGTGAGTGGGTATAATGTACAATATACAGTATGTGTGCATTCAGCCGTTTGGTAAGAAAGCACGTGTTGGCTACATGTGAGTTCAGAATTGAGGACTAGAAGGTGATATGTTCAGACAAGTGGTCCAGCACGAAGGCTCGAGAACAGCATCGCTGGTTTCTAACTGACCCTGCTGTAGCCTGGGAGATTCTTCACTCAGTCAGGCAGAAAGAGGAGAGATGAAGAAACCACATCAAGTCACGGGGGAGCTGATGGGAAAGTGATACACAGCGAGTGACCTGGAGAACAATGCATCTCTGCTCGGCCTGTAGGCTGCTGGCAGGCTGAGAGAGAGAGAGAGAGAGAGAGAGAGAGAGGAAGAGAGAGAGAGAGAGGAGATAGCAGAGAGACGCAGACTGACTCACGGAGCTGAGTCTCATAAGAGGAGCTGTGAGCGTGGTGATCTAAGCTGGCGTCCATATGTGGGAGGACAAGCTCTGCTTTCACGTCCACTCCATCCTCTTTTAAAATGACAAGAAGTGGTTGTATTAAATTCCTAAGTGGTGTTACACGAGCAGATGTTTCCATGTGATAATTGAAGCAGTTCAACCAGCAGTGGGTTCATCGGAGCTTTAATGTGTGTTACTGTAAACATGTCTGGCTTTAGTTTTGTCATGTAGTAGAACAATGTCCTTGAACTCAAATTTTTAATACCTAGACTGCATCATCAAAATACCACAAAACCCACGAGAAAACCCACGAAGGATTGCCACTGAACAACTGTGTAATGTCGTATCTTTATTTTACTCTTTTTATCTATTTTCATTTAGAAGATGTTAACGGACCTTTCAACCTCCTATTGTGGTCTTCATCAACAGATGGATTTTCCTTTTTTTTTTTGTGTGTGTGTTCGTCTAAATATTTCATTTCCAAAGTCAAGAATAAACGTTTATGCTCAATATCACACAGCTGCAGGACGTGGAGTGCATGTTGTATTTGCCACTGTGCATATGTTTGCCTGGATTTCAGGCCCCTTTGCATTATACCGAGGCAGCTACTCTCATCTGTTATTTGGCAGACTGTTCACAGGCTCTGACACGATGTGAATGTAAAAATCTTACCTGACAGAGATAAAATCCTTCAGCTGAGCGGAGATCCCCAGAAACTTGCAGTGGTTCGTGGTGTAGCTGATGTTAGTCAGGACGATTTTCTTCTTATACACTTTCCCCACGTCAAAGTCCTAAAAACAGACGATTCAAAATGTTCAAAATCATTCTGTTGCTTTTAAAATCCATCAACAAAAATCGAAAAATCAGAACTCTACTGTTAATTAAATTTACATAGCTTTAAATGGGAAACATGCACATTACAGAATTCCTGTGATAAAGTCAGAAGTGATGTTTTGTGGTGGTGTGGCACCTTGAAGAGGACGACCTCTGGTTTACTGATGAATGGAGACGCTCTCGACTCTTTTCCATGAACTTTTTTAGCGGGCGTGATGAGCTTCCCGCTGACCACTGCAGGTTCTTCCGGTTTCACTTTTGTCTGCGCCAATGAAGTCTCGTCATTCGGGAGCTTCTGGCGTCACACAGAGAAGCAACGGCAGCAATCAGTTTATAATGAAACTGTAGAATTTTAACATCCAGAACATAAACTCAAAATCAACAGCCATAAAAAAAAATGCCTCTTTATATCGAACACCGCAGTGAAGATGCTCATTAAAAGTATTTTGATAGCGCAGCGGGGAACTTTTTTCTCCTTGGGGCTCTTTGTGTGAATAAAGTGTAAATTGTGTCTCTGTCTGACTGAAAGCAAAACAATAAATGCAACTTATGTAATTAAGTGTAAAAAGATGAAAAATAATTTCATATAATAAACTGAAGAAGTAAAAGAGAATGTGAACTGTGTTCAGAGGTTATAAAAATGTTATATTTTTCTACATGTCAGACTGTTTTTAAAGGCCCGGTTTTACTTTTACGGTTTTGTCATTTTAGCTCTGTTTTTTTCTGTATTTTAAAACATTTGAAGTGAATGAATCATCTTATTAGCTTTGTTACATTGCTGTGCTCATCTATTGCAGTAGTCATTAGTGCGTTGAGAAGAAGCCTTTCATGAGAGCATCAGTCTGATCTGTATGGTCAGAGGAGAGATCACTTCTACTCGACTTGTCACACCGGCTCGGAGCTCTGAGCTGTATCGCCGCGCTCGCTCTGAGGCCTCAAAGCCACCAGCACAATGAGAAGAGATGCCTGTCGTCCCACATTTCAAGTGTGAAGGCGGCTGGATGAGACAGAAAGCCAACTCACCTCCATGACAGTGAGCCACAGACACTCATGGAGCAGCCTTTGAGCAAGGCAACATAACCCTAGATTCAAGAAAAAGTCAGAACCGGTGGAGTCACTGTGGTCCAACTCTGATGTCATCGATATGATGGAGTTTGATTGATTATGTGTTTACTATTCTGTATTAGAAAGTTAGTGCTAGTTGTCTACAGGCGCTCAGTGTGTTGTACGCTAATGTGTTAGCATGACTCAGGACACAGATATCAGTGTGACACTTCTATTGTAACAAATAACCAGATTCTGATAAAACATTTTGATGAACACTCATTTGAGTAATCACTAATAGTACTGCAACTAACAATTATTTTCATTATTGACAGTTTCTTGATTCTTTTTCAACTAATCAATGAATTGTTTACTGGATAAAATGTCAGGAAAATGTGCAACTGTGCCTTGAGACTTGATTGATTTGGCGCTATATAACTAAAAGTTGACTTGTCCGATCAACAGTCCAAAAGAGTTGGAAAACAGCGAAGCTCCCATCTATAAACAGAACAAACCCGTGGATCGCTCAGGTCACCCTGACTCCCTCAGCGCCTGATCGTCGGCCTGGCGAGGTTTTAGACAGACCTGTGCTACCTCCACCTGCAAGCAATGAGCTTCACCATGAGCAGGTGGGAGCTCCATGATACAACCCCTCCAGATCCCACACCCCCTACATGCACGATCCCCCACCAAGTAGTAAAAGTCTCCAGTGGGGGAACGATAACACGATCCCTCACCTGCTTCCCATCTGCAATCTCTGACAGTTGTGTTTATTGGAACACACTAACAAGCTGGAGGTGCAGCTCCCGGGAACTGAAACTGTGTTTTATCCACGTCCCCAGCCATGAGACCTCACCCCCCCAGTTTTCAACCAACGTGATTAAATCAGTGAACAGTTGGATCAGCTTTGTTGTTTACATCAAAAACTGCTACACAGCTAATTCAAATCAAGCAAAGAACGGCTTTCAGTTGTGTTATTTATAAATCAAGCTTTAGGTGGGAAATTCATCTGCTCAAGAAGATGCAATAAGAACATCCATAGAAAAACGATATGCCTGCTCTGAATGAGACATGATTTATGACTGTTTAATTTTAGCAGCTTGCAGGGATTTGCTTGTGGCTGGCGGTGGCTGTTATTGTAGTGCACCTTGTAGTTCTGGTCCCATAGCCCTGAGAACTCAGGCTCAGCCAGGCTGTCAGCCAGGCTCTGGTGGTCCACTTCCTGCTGCGTGGTTTCCTCGAGGTCCACACCGTCAGAGGAAGCGGACGATGAGCTGCTTACGTCACTGAACTCTCGTAACTGGCGGAGAAATGCACAAACACATCGGGTCATAATCGTTCAGGATCTCTTCATACTGTCACTTCACACATGGCATCTCAGATGTTAATAAACAGCTCACGATTGTGGCTCTCTCCTCTCTGGATGGCGGGGGGCTGGGATCCAGGTAGTACAGGAGCTTCTCTCTCGCCCTCCCCAGAGACGGGAACTTGTCAGTGGTTGAGAGTTTAGGCAGCTTTGCCTGGTGCCTCTTTCTGCTCTTCACCAGCTGTTCCTCCTGAAGGATTTTTGCCACTATCGCCACCTTGTTTGACTTCTGCCTCTCTTCGAATTCCCTGAGAAGGGCAAATCAACAGCACTGCATTATGCCGAAATGGGGTCATATATTCCTCAGCGCACAGCGAGAGAAAACACCCACACACTGCTGCATGGAGTGGGAGTGGAGGACATGCATGTGGGAGAGAAAGAGGAGAGGAAAGGAAAGGAGGGAAGAGGAGAGGAGAGGACGCACTCTTGTTTTCGTTTTATCTTCTCTAGATGTTTCTGTTGGTGCATGTGCTTGATGCTGTTGATGCCTTGGGCCTGCAGGGACTCTCTCAGCTGTCTCTGGTGCTGTTCTTTCTTCTGGGCATTTGCTCTGGCTCTGCTTAGTTGGACTTGTAAACTCTCCTGAAGGAACAACGGCAGATTAATGACACTACATTTGACCTCATGCAGCCTTATGCATTAAATTGATCATCGGAATTATGAGAAATTGATGTAACAATATATTTTTTTTCCCTAAAACATGAAATGTACCTGTTGAATGTTGAGTTTTTAAATACAGGAATAAGCATGACGATGATTACACTGCAAGATCATAATGACGGGCACATAGTACTGTTGACAACAGCATACACAGTCCAGAGGTGAATTTACCTCATTCAAACATCAATAAATGTGATGTCTCTGCTTCATGTCATAGCGAGGAGGAGAATTTGAAGTGGTTGGAATCAGTAAATCCAGATCCTGATGGCATGTTTTGTAAAAATGTACAGCAAGCAAACACTGTAAATGTAAGTTTATATGATGTTTAATGAAGTTTATTAAATGTTTCACCATGGTTTAAATGCAAAATTGCAATTTCTGTGAAATAAAGTAATTTGCGATGTAAGGCTCACACAACCACAGACATTACTGCAACTTTAATTAGTCATGCTACTACTTCCAATTTTCCACTTTCTACGTCTGCCAAATATAAACTCTTATATTATATAAGAGTTATATAATTATAAATTTATTCACTTATTTTGTTGTAATTACATTGTAAATTGTATTATATTCTATTTCATCTGTTCTTTTATTATTATTATTTTTTTGTTTGCTAATGTTATTCTAGTTTTTTTAATCTAAGTTATTGTATCTCATTGTTGATTCGTCCTTTTCTTTTTAGCTCATCAGTCGCCTGTGAAGCACTTTGAACTGCACTAACCTGTACGAGAAGTGCTATACAAATAAAGTTTGTTTGATTGATTGATTGATTGATTGATTAGAAACAATGGTATTCATATGGTATAAACTACAGAGCCTGGCGGGTGTCAGGGGGAAATTTGGGTTCACTCACTCACTCACTCACTCACTCACTCACTCACTCACTCACTCACTCACTCACTCTATGTAGTCTAATGTTAATGCAGTGGAAATATGAACAATTTCATCTAAATGAAATCTTCAGTTTAGATGATCTAAATTGTGTCAGTTCCGTGATGTGAAAGAGTTTGAGAACCACTGAATAAGAACACACACATACAGTAATATCTTATGACAGTATCTGTACTGACAGTATGTCACCACTCATAATGCATATTACTGATTCTGTCCAGCTGAGATTAAAAAGATTTTTTCATAACTTCTAAGGCAGTAAATTAACTATACTGTTCTGTTTGAAATGCACTGTGTCACATTTCCACCAGATTTAACGACAACAATTACATTCACTTCTATACATGAATTTAAATATACATTTATATGTGCCTCATGCACTCATAATGTGCTTACATTGCCTTTATGATGTCTGAGCACAAATTGTATCATGACGTCTTTAAAGCTTTTTGAGTATATGATGCATTACTGATTATGGTTTATATATAAAAGGCTATTCATGTATGCACTTAGAAATGGTCTTATATTGTACTATTCATATAGCAGCTATAGATAATGTTCATAATATACAGAGCTAAAACAACAACAACATCATTCTGCAGCATCAGTATGCATGGCTGCTGTTTCTTACTTGTGCGGCTGCTATGTTAGATTTCAGTGACTCAACAGCTTGCCTCCTCTTTTCCAGTAACTCCCTGTTCTGTTGCTCCTTCTCAGCCTGTCGCTGATGCATCCTGAATGAAACGGGGACAACCACAAACACTGTGAATGGTCCAATACAGTGTGAGAGAAAAACACATGTGCTGTTACTGTTTGGAATCAAAGGAGCTGAATAAGACTGAGATTAATTATAATAACTCAGAGAGATGCTTCGCCCTCTATGAGCAGAAACCTCAGCAAGAAAATATTCTCTTGTCACGCTGGTAAAGTATAAGTTTAGGTTTCAGATTGTAAGTGCTGATGAGGAACTTGGGAGAAAGAGAGGTGAAGAAACACGGTCTCCGGAGCTCCCTGAATTCTGTTGACAGTGGATAATACTCACTTATGACTGACCAGAGGGTGAGACAAATTTATGGCTCTGAAACAGATTTCTTATCACTGTTCTATATTAATACATAAAGGCATTTATAAAAAAATCTGTACCTGTCATTCTATTTAAATGAACAGACAGATCTGAGAATAACAACATAGATTTTTGCATAAACTGACAACATTTTTGGGCAAACAAAATTCATGCATACCAGAAGTTATCAGAAAGTGAAGGAGCTGAACAAAACAAAAGAATATAACACACAAAAAGACAGAAATGAACAATCTTGGAAGTTAAAATATGCAGATATGTCATCCTGCGGTTGGCTGGTGGTTTTGGCTGTTACTAGATAATGGCTTCTTTCACTTCTTGGAGCACACAAAAAAAATCTTAATCAAAAATAGTGTCCTATTATATAAATAGACAACTGCTCGTTGGAAAGTTGTCATGATTTAAGTGGGATACTTCACTCGGTGCATTGGTTGTTGAAAATGACATGTGCTACAAGGGGGCAGATTAACACAAAGTTGACTTTTAAAATAAACAACAGTGCCTATGTGTAAGGTATGTACAGTGTTTGTATGGTTTCTATACAGTTAGTGATTTTTGGGAAGCATCATGACTAACTGCGACTGTGCATCAATTCAAGCTCTTTCAAGTATTTTGTCAGCTCCGCTTAAAACATTTTGCCAATATGAGCGAATTATCAATAGCATGTGTCAACTTCCCAACAAGTCCTCTGAGACTCTTCATATTCTTGTCCTACTCCGAGCCCTGTTTATTGGCTTAAAAGCTGATTACCTTTTAATGGTCTCTTTCAAGTACTTGGCAGCTATCTTGCGGTTCGCCTGGTGCTCGCCAGTTCTCTTCTGACAGTCACTCTCCTCTTTCTTCATCACAGCTGCCTGTTTGCTACCAGAACACAAATCACAGACACTTATACACGTATTACTCTTTACATGGCCGTTCATTCAGTTCATATGGGTGATTCTCCACACAGACTATAGAGACTTTTCATAAAAAGAATCATTAAAAAGGACTAGAGAATAATTTCACAGGATAAAAAAAATACTTTCATGGAGAACTGATAGCTTGAACATAGATTATATTTTATTTTTCCCACTTGCATGCACAAATGAATAACTAATAATCATTCAGTCTCTGCATTATGAGTGGTATTTCACATAAATTAGATGTGTGCTTAGTTCAATTCTCAGTTTTCTATGTATCAAAGAGCAGCAGAAAAACAAAAATGAAGAAGATGGTCGTTGTCCCTACTCTCTGAGACGCTGCATCTTGAGCTGTAGGTTCTGGCCGGCTTGCCTCTCCTGCCGCAGCCTCGTGTCTGCCTTCTGGGCCTTAATGACCTTGAAGACCCGCTCCTCCTCCTGCACCTCCTGCCGGAGTGAGGAGTACCTGCCAAGCTCCACCTCCACCTCACTCAGCTCCAGTCTGAGGAGCAAGGACATAGATGAGATGGATGTAGACAGAACAAGGAGCTAATGATGCTGACTGATGGTGTACATGATGCACTTGAACAGTCACTCAGAAGAAGTAAGGAGCTACGACTCTATACGGTTTTGAAGCCCAATAATTATTTAATTTTTTTTAAAATTACGATTAATAAAAACAGATCAGTCGACCGTATCAGTTGGTCAAAGAGGCAAATATTTGATCCCTGGATGATGTTGAAAAAGCCTATGAAACATTTGAAGCCATACAGTAATTTCCCTTTAAGAGGTAGTTCCTTAAAGCAGGATGAGAGAAGAATGCCTGTCAGAAAAAGACTTCACAATCAAACCATGTTCCTCACTCCAGCTGCTTCAGCTCGGTGTTGATGTGGCCTTCCAGCTCCTCTTCACTCTGCAGCTTTTGACACAGATGCTTATGCTGCGCTCGTAGACGAAACACTGCCACGCTGCAGAATAAAATAAACAAAGAGTGTGAGGCAGAAACTTCTCATATATGAATGTAAAGTAGAGACCAGTCAGTTTTGAACTCACCTGTTGTCCACTGCTTTCTGTCGCTCTATCTCTTTCTCCAAGTGATCCCTCTGCTGCACCAAACTTGGAATATTCTGACGACAGAGTTTCAGTTCGTCTCTGAAAAAGAAAAGAAAAAACAACAAATCAGCGCTGACATAGAGAAAAGCTCCAGATCAAAGTCAGTCAGAAGAAATAGTTTCAAGGCTGTTAAAGTGCAACGTGTTCTGAGGCTACAGGCTAATGGATTTCCTCGTGGCCACTGCAACAAAAGGATGGTAATTCTGTCAGCTAAGGCAATCTAATGAAGATACTGAAAAGCTGAGAGTGGACACAAACACACCTCGACAGCTTTGAATTGCCCAGTGTTCTGTTTTCAGTCTAATGGTGTGCAACACAACAATCTGTGACTGGGGGGAAGGGGGGCAGTCATAAAGAGAAAATCATAGCACATGCTACAATAAAAACTGCAGATTGGTTAAAAGCCAGGTGTGCTTAGGTTCCATTAAACTCATGTTTGATCAGAGCGCAGCACAGCTCCACACTGACCTTTGATGCCTTGTGCTAAAAGGAAACTGACAGCCGTTTTTGCTGGGTGCTGCATCACAGTTCATCGGCTGCTTAATGGCTCGCAGTGCAGACAAATAAAAAGAGGGAAGAAAAGTGGGGAGAGAGGACATTATGGGAAATGTTCTCTCTTCGGCTGAAATGATTTCCTGCAAATTGCTGAATCAATTGGTACAGAAATGATTGGTTCTGTATGAGCAGGGCAAGAGGGGAAAGACCTGGGAAAGTGGAATAACACTGAAAGAAAGATACTAACAGAAACTGGAAAGATTGTCAGAAAATTGTGTTGTTTTTTTTTTCTTGGCAATGCAACAACCTGTGAAATAAAAGACACCTGTGTTTTTTTTTTATATTCCTACTACAAAATAAATGCTAAGTTTACCATTACGTGCACAGACTTCAGTCAAGTCTATCTAGGTTAAGGAGCTACTGTGGCTCTAGAAGTGCGTTGTTTGCCAGGTCCAGACCTGGCTTTCAGCACGTCATGCTCCTTCTGTCGGTGAAAGCAGTCCAGCTGGTCCAGGTTTCGTCTCAGCTTGAACATCCGTGCTGTCGCGGCATAACTCCTCTTCTTACCATAATCGCCCACAACCACAAGGTCACCATCACCGTTGTCCTCTCTTGGGACAGATGCACAATGATATTTACGAGAGGTTGCATATTTAATGCAAAGTCTGACTATGCATTTTGTACATACACAAAATTATACCACAATTATGCCAGGAGATGTTTACTGGGGTTTTTTACAAACATAAAAAGTACTAAATTGAGCTTTACAATTTTACTAAGAATCACAATGAGTCAGAATGACTATGTTCTGCAGTAGATGCTGAGAAGGCGATAACAGAATAAGTACATTAACATTCATATTTTTGTGATTCAAAGAAAAGTTAAAATACCTACTCAGACAATTCTTCTAGCCACTCCAAATCAGGAGGAAGAGCAGGTTCCTGGTCTGAACCTTCATCTGAAATATAAAGCTATATATTATATTACCCCAGTCTCGTCAAACTTAGGTAAAAGAAAGAAGCAGTTATGTGTATATGCGTGCACATGTATTTCATTAATAGTGAATTACAGAGAAGGTATCTCAGTGACTACAAGCATCAAACAGGAGCTGTCACTCACCCAGGTGGCCACAGCTGTCTGACGCCACATCAGATGGACTTTCCCTGTCTTCTCCGTCCATTTCACCTTATTATGAATGAAGCAGAACCAGACAAACCTAACGAGAATAACGAAAAGTGGGCTGAATGGATTACCAAACATCTTCAGTGATTTGGAAATAATACGTGGCATTGCTCGTTGAATAGCTGGACGCCACTTTAACGCGACAGATATGTAATTCATCAGAAGTCGCTTTCCTCTTGGTTCATGACGCTTATCACAAACTGCGGCACCCGTCTCGTTTAAAAAGTAAAATTTCCATCTTAAAAATGTTTCTTGGGAAATTTAATATTTGCCGATTCCAAGTTATCTCTCTTAGTGAATTGGATAAGACATTAAGTCATAAATTGGGGTGTATACGTAAGTAAGTGTCAGTCAGACAACGTTCAATAAGCAGATTTCTAAAGGGAATTTGGCGTGCCGTTGAAGTTAGCTACTCAACGCGCGCTAGCTAAACTTGGAGAGCTAAACAACTAATGCTAAGTTAACGTTGTATCATATTTCAAATTAAAAACGTTTTCAGTTACGAACGCTGTTACCTCGCGTAGAGAGCCTTTCCTTCTCTTGGCAAAAATATCTTCTCAGAACTACTTTTTTTCTCACGGCAAATTTAATCCGCCATGTTTGTTAGTGTTTCCAAGGAGACGGGACGCAAGGGGCGTGGCCCTGACGTCCCTTCAGTCGCCGCCTAGCCAAGAAACAGGTTTGGATGCTGCTGCACAGATTCTTGATTAATAACAAAATAAAACAGGTTTCCTTTAAATTATTATGACTCACTGCTTTTATTACGTCCAGAGTTTGTAATAATTTTTCCCAAAGTACTGAAGGTGACAATAAGTTTTTTTAAGTTTTAGTTTTTTAGTTTTTTATGCAAAATTTCACATCCATAAGAGTAAATTTTCAAATAATAACTCAACCATTCTTTCCTGCGTTGGTTATAGAAATCTATTGAAATGTTTGCTTGCATTATAATATTTCCATTTAACATTATAACTTAAATTTACCCCCTGGCAATTTATTTTTTATACTTTTTTCATTTTTATTTTTTATTTTCAATTTCCCTTTGGTTGTTAAACTGTATATTTATTTATACACCTGCTAATTCTGATGAACTATTTACCAATTTACTATGTTTATGCTTGTTCATATGTATAATGTTCCTATACATTTTCAAAAAAAAACAAACATTCAGCTGAAAGCAGCAGCTGGTGGCAAAACAGGAAACCTAATTGTAATGACAAAGTAATCTGACACGATATGGTCCATAGGTTCTGCCGAAATTACCCAGTAAGAGGTTAAAAGAGAGAAGAAACCAGTAAAATCACTCTGTGTTAAAGAGGGAATCACTGGTGTATAGCCTTATGTGCTGTTGTAGCATACTAATAAGTGTAGCGCTGATTAAAAGGCTTCAATAAAATCTAATATCGAAAAACATAGACGTTTAGTTTTCTTCTTTTACACAATAACAGTGTGACTGTTCCAACTGTTGTTTCCTTTTTGCACGATGCTTCTATAATTTCCTTCACTATCACTGGTTTGTTTCTTTGGACTGATATCAGTCAAGCCACACGCAGCAGAAAATACCTCAGCTGGTTCAGAAAGCATGATAGCCTGAATCTGTGTGTTATGCAGATTCTTTTGTCGAGCATGGAAGAGTGTGCAGCCCTATCTGATTTACACTGGGAAAAGACAATTTTCTAGTTGGTCAGTATTGCACTGGCACAATGGATTTGAAAAGCTGCTCTCTTTTCTTTGACATAATAAATCTTTCTTTCAATTTATTATAATGTTGAAGAGGAATTCAGAGGAGGGTGGAGAGAAGGGTGCGTTCTGCTGTACAACACAGTGAAATCTTGTGATACAGGAATATATCCTGTCACCATGGGAGACTGAATAAATAAACAGAGTGAGCATGCATGTGTGCGCGCGCAAGTGTGTGTGTGTGAATGTGTGTGATGTAGAATAGCAGGCAGGTTTTGTTGCAGAGATAAAGGCAGAGCAAAGTAACTGTGAGGGGAAACAGAGAATCCAGCTGATATGAAGAAAAGATCAACAGGAGGCAAACAGAGAGAAACAGAGAGAGACAGAGAGAGAGAGAGAATACACGAAGATGAGACGAATAAACAGAATAAGAAATATAGTTTGTGTTTGAGTGACTCAGTCCCGTACAGTGCATTGCAGCATGTGGCCTACTGTAGCCTGGCATCTTCATATCAAAAGAACTTACAGTGTAAATCCAAGTGGAGGGTCCAGTGGGAGGGAGAGACAGTGGTTTGACTCTGCTCCCCAGGGTGAGGCACCAGAAACCAGGGCATGTGCACTGCTGCAACTCTGCACTGAACTACTCTCCGCACAGCACATAAAAGAGGTTACTTATAATGAGGAGGAAAAACATAAATAGATAAAAATCATACAGATTTTGGCAGAATGGAGGATATATTTCCTGTTATAACTTATATATCCTATATTTATCCAATCAGACTGAGTGGAGATTAAAACGCTTACTGAGATAATACCTCCGGGACCCGCATAATACTTATATAATATAAAAAAATCCCTTAGAAAATCCCATAGAATAAATTCCTCTGATATAGTGAGATGTGTTTCTACCTATGTTTTGCTGTTTTGTTTCTGCCTGATAATCTTTTTTGTCCGAGCTCCTAATGTCTGGAGAACGTATTGAACGTTCATGGACCGAACCATAATTCAATTACAATCGTAAACATTTTGTCGAAACTGGGTCACAGTTAGTCAGCTGACAGGTCGGACTCATCCGATCCCAAACTGCAGGTGCATCACTCGGGTTTGATATGTAAAGACAGAATAATCAATTGAAATCATAATATGCCAAATGCAGATAAACAGAAGCAGCATTAGCAGATTTAACATTATGCAGATGTACATTATGTGCGGGGGCAGCAGACTGGCATTTAGTTTCTTGCATACGATTTCCTCGACAACTTTTTCACTCAGTTAGTTTTCCTATATTCTGTATGGTAACTTCGTTCAGCGGCTTTTGGGTTTGAGTCTTGATGAAACATTTAACAGAAGTTTGAAAGATGTCATTTAAATCATTTAAGTTGCATCATGGGAACTGTAGCATTCAGTATTTGCGGCGCTTCAGCGATTGATCGATGACACTGACGATTCTTTCTCAAGTCTTTGTCACCAGTTTTATAAAAGCGTAATTCTTAATGGAAAACCACTTTATCCGTTTACTGCGCATATAATATAATATTCAAAATTTAGCATCTGTTAATTCTTATTATACTGTAAGTGGTTTTTAAATACTCCTACAATACATGGATTTATAGTGTGTAGCGCTAAATACAGATTTCATATGGTTTACGTTCCATTGGTATCTCCACTGTGGTTCCTGTGTGCGTTGCTCAATGATGACAACACTCAGTAGCTGCTTTGCTTAATGGGATTATTTTTCATCTGGTATCACTGTGTATTTTTGTGCATTTTACTGCCGTTATTTGATGGTTGAAAGTGGAGAAATGACAGGAAAGAGAGCTGTTAACTGACACGTCTCTGATTGGACACAATGTTCTGCTCCTTCACCTCTTACAGGCCACCAGTGCACCTCCATCGTACTCCTGAATGAGACTTTTGTGTCAGGTGTGGTCTTATTATACTTTATCATATTTGATCTCATCTCATCTGGATTCCTGTAGGAGACTGAATCTTTTAAAACGAGGATCTTTGGTCTCTGATATGAAAGTGTTTGATAACCTCTGTACCACAGCAATGGGCCCCTGATGTTGGAAACAGCCTGATCTACATGTGCATTATAACTGAATTATAATATATATTAGTCTGGAGAGGAGATGTGGAGCTACCAGTGGAACCTCCGTTCAGAGCACTTCCTCATTTTCCCACATTATTCTGCTGAGCAGAAGCCCCGGGGCGGTCAGCTGATCCAGAGTCCCATGAGGAGTGGTTTAATTTTACCAGAGCTCACCACCCATTATCCCGATTAGTGGACACCTAGTAGAGTATGTACTTGGTCTAACATGAGTTTAATACACACTAAAAAATGCTGGTTTATTCTAATAACCCAACTGCTGGGTTCTAATGTTAAATATAGTGACCCTGCACGATGGGTTGAAGATGCACCCTGAAATCGCAGGCTGCATCACTCTTCACAGTCCGCCATTTTTATGCAGTTTAGGCTTCCAGAAGACAAACAATGAGAAACATAGATTTTAAATTAATTTTATACATTTTTATTATACTTATATATATACTTATACATGGCTAACTTCATTAGCTGGGACATGATGGTGCTTGTTTCATTGTTTCATCATTTTATAACAATTTTAATTGAGTTTTAACAGCAACAGCAGAAGTTTATGGATGTCTAAATAAGTCCCAGAATTTGGGTTGTTCTTTGGAAGCTTTAATTCAACAAAAATTAATGAATTTTTACCAACATGCCGCGGGTCAAACCTTTGACCCGACCCTGCTGGGTTAAAACACCCCATGGCTGAGTCGACCGCTTTTTAACCCAAACTGGGTGACTTTTAACCCAGCAGTGTATGTAATGACAGTTCTACCTGCTACTCTTTATTATCCCCTGAACCAACTCAAGGACTTCTGGGTTCTTCTGGGTTCTTCTGGGTTCTTCTGGGTTCCCCTAACACCCACTGTGAGCTGCAGTGGGTCCCTCGGTGGATCTCTCTGCTGTTTCCACCAGAGAGATCCACAAACTTTATCTGAGACACTAATTGTCTAATGGAGATTATTCGGATGTCTCAAACATTACATAATATGATGAAGTCTTATGTTCGTGACAGGCCTTCCTGCCCCCCCCCCCCGCCTTCCGTGTCCAGATTGAATCTGACGTTTAGAGGCCAAGCAACAGAGGGATCGACAGATTAGTGACTCTCTCTCTCTCTCTCACTCCCCTCTCTCTCTCTCTCTCTCTCTCTCTCTCCTCTGTTGCTGGGGGACAAGCGGCGGCAGCGGCAGCGGCGGTGGATCGGTGCGCTGTAGCGGTCGGACCGGGAGTTTTTTTTTTCCCCCTCCTTTTTCCTTATAGGTGCGCTCTCTCCTCATGTGCGCTCCTCCTGGACGCGGAGGAATCGGGGAACAGCTGATCATGGGGTCATCATCATCATCATCACCACCACCATCATCATCATCATCATCATCCTCAGCATCTTCAGCAGTGTCAGCGCTTCTCTTTACTTTCTTCTCCGCGGCGCCGGATCACGAGAAGAAGAGCGCGCTAAAATAAAACTCTGTGGCTTCTGTCGTCGATTGTTCCAAACCCGGGAAACTTTTCTTCTTTTTTTGTTATAAAACTGTTATTTATCATAAAGCCAGTGGAATGGAGGTCCCAACTTTCCTGCTGTCCAGTCTTGCCCTGCTCTTTGTCGGAGGGGATATTTTCACCAGGTGAGATCAGCCTTGCTTTTTCTTTTTTCTTTTTTCTAGTTCTTGCAGGTGTCTTACATCCATGACCTCCTCCTCTCCTCATCCTCTCATCTCCTAAAGATTCAGGAGGGGAATGAAAAGTTGGATGTAGCATTAACTCAAAGTCAAGGCAAAGGAACCAGTGGGAATCATGGTTATATCATGAGGGAAGCGTTACAGTGTCACTGAGTTAATATGCATTACACTATAGCAACCAATACATCACCTTGAAAATCATTGATCCCTTTGAAAAATAAATATTAATCGATTAAAAATCACTAGTCAGTTTTATTCCTGCTCGCTGTGCTTCGCCTCCCACGATTTCACCTCATTAATATTAATGTACATGACGCCTGAAGCTGCGTACATTCAATTTACGTCCCTTTAACTTCTGTATCCTTCCATAAAAATACTTAAAAAAATACTCCATGCACGCGCACAACCTGAAGCCCGCTCTCTGCTCTGCTTCCCCTCCGGGCACATGGACCTGATGACACCATTTGCATAATGCATGTATTTTGTTTTTTTTATGGAGATGCCTGCAAGCTGAGGAGGGTGGGTGTGTTGTTGTGTGTGTGTGGCAGTTAATGTCACCCACCTCCAGGCCTGTTGGGGGGGGGGGGGCAAATATCAGATGGATAAGAAGAGGCCTCTGTGACAAATACATTTAAGCAGGGCTGCTCAGCTTTAATGTAAATGCCCCGTTTGGAGAGTTTGAGGCAGGTTGTGCTGCTGGAGTCAGATGGGCAGCTTCCATCACAAACATGTGACTGGCTGAGGCTCACAACGCCTCCTGCTCAGTGCACGTTCTGCTAAAATTAGTCTTTAAAAATGAACTCGAATGAGGACGTAAAGTGAGGTGAAAGTGAGATGATCAAATAGAGAGAGCATTGATCCTCTTGAGATGAGAAAAACCCTTAACTCAGTGCTATTTAAAGTCATTTTTACACAGTCACTGCATTGACATTTAATCCAACCATGACCTGATTACACAGATATCTTGAATACGAAACAGTATGCTTTTGTCGACCAGGTGTATCTAAACCAGATGGCGAGTTCTGGTGCTTTAAACTTTTATGTTTTCTATAGAGGCCTGTAGTACGCAGCTGAAATGCCCCTGCGGTCCTGTCCATAAGCTTTCAGCAGCATCCAATTCTCAGGATAACCAGCATCAACTACACTGAGCTCCAATTTCCCCCAAAAGCCCACATGCCTCCGCTGAAAAGGGCAAAGGCTGAAGCTGTTAAAGCTCTGGGTGAAATTTGGGCAAATCGCTTCTATTGTCCCTCTTGGCTGTTCACCAGCAGAGGGAGTAATAGCTATTGTAATTGGATTTTCCTGCCTCTAGTCACTGCTGTTATTATTATTTTGTTCTCAGTACAATGCAGAGTGTAGGCTTTTTCTTGCACCTCATTATGTGTCAGCTCTTTCTCTCTCTCACACTCACACACACACAATCATGCACACTCACACACACACACACACACACACACACACTGCTATTTTGCCTTTGGTGGCTGAAAGTTGCAAACTGCCTCCCCCCTCCTCTCAGAACAGAATTACACTGGTTCTCTTTTTAGCTCCTCATTTATCCATTTCATAAAAGTTGCTTAGCTTTAGCTCTGCCTCGCCACCTTTGGTGTGGCGTGTATTTCACAGCTTTTCTTTTCCAGCTGAAGTGTCACTTACCCTTCACTTCACTTCACCAACACAGTCTGCATGTAGCCGAACTGATGGTGTAATACCTGCAACAGAGACAGCAGGAAGCACGGGGGCTGTAAGAATACTGTCGAGGACGGCAACAGCACCTCAAACAGAATAATGAGAGATAATAATGTAGAACATAACAACACGTATGGTTACAAATCCTTCAGAAAGCAAAGAATCTCACTGGTTGTTTTAACCTTGGTGGATGTAGGATGATATATTTGATACTCGTCATTTACACCGTAAAAGACTTAATCATCGACAAGATTATTGTTCAGATCCAAAAACTATTTCCATACACACAGACCTGATGCTGGAAATACTCCAGATGAGCCCCCAGGTCGTCTGTGCAGCAGGTTATTATGACCCATGGTTACGTTTAGTTGCTAGGCGACATCTAGTGGTCGTAGTAATGATGACAGGAGCGAAGGGAAAAGTGTCGGTGACGTAGTATAAAGAGGGACAGAGTCCATGTCAGGAGGTGGTGCTGGTGGATGAATACCACACAGGAGAGCGGTGTGTTCGATTCCCATGTTGTTTCTATTATCCGTGACCGTTCGACAAAGGTAACCACGTTGTTGTTATTGTAACCATGACAACAAAGACCATCCGATGTTGATGAAGTACTTATTTTAACCTAAATCACCATCTTTTTTCTAAAACCTGACCAAGCCATGAACGTTGTTATAGTAACCATGGTGATGGAGGCAGGTACACCGCTCTCGATACAATCGGCGTTTATTATTAGTTTATTATTGTAACCATGACAACCGAGGTCCGGTAAGTCCGCTGCTGTAGGGGCGCTATTTCAGGAGACGCTCCTGTGGGTCGTATCAGAGGGTTGGAGGACTGATGCACCAAATGTATATTAATAATAAGGTTGAATTTAGTCCATAAATGCACTATGTTGTAATGTTTGACTCATGTTTGCTAAAAACTGCAGTGTCCAGCTGTTTTAAGGAGTGACTTAGACTTAAAAAAAAAAATGTTTGTGACCATTTCTCAAAGATTTACATCTTCAGTAGGAACCAGTTGATTTGGAGCTTAGAGCCAAAGAAGACAGAAAGTATTGAGAGAGTGAAAAATTATGGTTTTGTTCACTTAAGCACAGAATGACACCAGCCTTTTCCTTTAAAGGAGCTGTTGTAAGCTTTGCTATTGCTACATAACTAACATTAGCATTAACAGCTGTTTACTTACCAGTCTAGCAGAAACGTTGAGCAAGTTCAGCATCAAACTTTATTCCTTTACTCACCAACAGCTGTCTGCAGACGTGGAAACAAACACCAATGTTAACTCTTCTCTCTATCACGTCTTTTCCTCTACTGATGTTAGCACGCTAACCAGCTAGCCGCATTCCGATAGCGACTCACTGTAGCTTCCAATCTGAAGTCGTAGAGCTGCTGACAGGACATATAATAACCTCTCGTCTTGTAAACACAACGACGGCTGATGCTCTTGACAAGAAATACATGTATATGGCGGCAGAGAAAACCTACACATAGCCCCTTTAATGTCTGTAGACCTCAGGTGTATGATATTAACAATGTCTGTTTCAGTTAGGTCCCAAAATGCAGTCGTTAGTAATGAATTCATTTCCTGCTTTGACTTGAAAACGTCTGCTGTGATAGAAAGTGTGTTTTCGATCATGTTTTCACAAAGACATGGAGTCCGTCATCTGCACCCTGTCATCAACCCAGTTCCCTCGTGGCTTCATCTCGAACGAGTAAACAGTTTGTTTGCTAACCCTGTTGGCCGCATAACAACAGAGATCTTTGAGTGGTTTACCTGCGGTACGCTTTTATTGTGAAGCAGCTACATGAAGTGTTGAGTCTGCAGTCTTAATATAGCTACAGTTTATTCAGGTGTGATGGCAGCAGATTAGTCAACGGTGAGGCTCCTATCTGCTCGACGAAGGTGAGAGGAGGGACGTAGATCACGACACGAAGCAGCGTAGACGGCAACTCTCAGGATTGGACCCCTTAAATAGAGCCTGTTATTGTGGGTCAGTGTGGCTACCATCAGCTGACAGGAAGTGGAAAGAAGATATTATAGTTATGTGACAGTAAGGAACAACAGCAGCGCCTGGAAAATGAGGAAAGAAGAATGTTGATGGATGATAAATTTGTTTGTGAATAAGCAGAAGGTCACTGTTTCACACAGAAGTGGTGTCAGCTAGTTTCCATGACAAGAGTGCTTCTCTCGGTTTCTCTGCAAAATATAATTAAAAAATACAAATAAAAATTATGCAGAAAATATAAATGTATCATATGCACAGAGAGTGGGAGGAGTGGGGAGATCAACACAGTCCTCCCACGGCTCAGTTTGGCCCCGGGGTCGTGGCGGGTTAATCTGACCTTGCATGAGAGCTGCAGTTGTTTCAGTTTCATTATATTTTCACTGACCAGTGGTGTGAAGGATATTTGTTTATCTCACAAGGTGGAAAGAGACGCTCAGTGTCGTGTGTCAGCTCTTCAGGCAGAGAGACATTTTGTTTTCTTGTGGACACATGAGAGATGTCCAGATTATAGTTTAGCAAGACGTAATGCAGCAGGATTTAATCCCGCCATTTCACGATCTCTCTGGTCCGTCACACTCGTCCTTACACCTGCACTCAGGTGACACCGACGTCCTGACTAATCCGCATGAGAGGCTGAGTCAGCAGATAACCCCCCCCCCCTGTCCAGAGAGTACATTTCCCCAATAACACAGTGATTTGATCATGTTCCACTGGCTGCAGGAACTGGCTCTGAAGCCTGACTCTGCTCTTGCTGCAGGGTGAGGTGGTGCAGGGACGCTTCAGAGCTTCCACTAAAAGCCTCCTACTCAATTCAAGGTGATGCACCACGTGGAAGGAAACTGTTTACTCCAATCAGTTTCATTTACCCGTTGAATATGTTCAAAAATGTTCAAATTCTGATGACCTCATACATATTAATTAATTTGTATAAATTGGGGTTTTTCCTCTTTGTTTCTGGGGAGTTTTTATATCCTGCAGCTGAAAACTTTCACATGATGGACACTGAATTGAAGCCACAAGGGATGACTCACTGTAGAGTATAGAGAAGTGTATTATATTATTATTAGTTTTTATTGTATTATTTTTCTTATTATTATTATTAATATTTGCCTATTTATATAGCACTTTTCAAAAGTTACAGATACGTCATAAAATCATCAGATTTAAAAAAGAATAAATAGAAACAATTTGGTGTAGAAAAACAATTCATTGTAGGAAAATACAAGTTATTCCTTTATTAAAGCGGCGCTCCACA